AAATGACATTGAATTTTTTATTTTATTAAATTTAAAATCGCTTTGGAGTGATGCAAGCATTTTAAAACATACTTATCAACACATACATACTTATAATAGAAATCTCTACGATAGGAAATGTGTATTCCCATTCGTGGATCGAAATAGGCCAATAAGAAATGGAAGAACGTGACTTTGAAAGTTGTCCTGTCAGTGCAGCTTGCCTATTAAATATATTGCCATTAGAATCAAAGTTCCAGATCGAACTCCTATTGTCTACACAATAGAAGATTTTCCATTTAATGTAGGTGGATTCCAAAGCAGCTAGCTTAAACAGCGATAAGCTCTACAAATTATGCGAAGCATGTCGCCATTAAAGTTTTAATTATTGACCATTATTCTGACATTTTATACTTTGAGGAGTTTCAGTCGAAAAAAGCTTGAGTATGTTTTAAAAGGCTTGCTTTTTTCGAAGTCATTGTTATTAAAGTAAAACATGCAACTTCAATATTTTGAAAAGTCGTGTGTTTGCCTGTTTTCCACTTTTGCTATTAGTTTAAAAACAATATGGATGAAAATGCATAAATTTATCTGATGTAAGAAAACAGTCACAATAACTTACCCCCTCTCTATTAAGGGTGCCTATAAGGCAAAGGGTAATGCAAAAATTAGCTTTAAAGGATTTGTAAAAGGATTTAAAACGTGGAACTTTGATTATAAACGGTTCTGTCAGTGAGAATGACTCTCAGAAGAAATCTAAGGATTGTATCGTCAAGGTCATTGAACGACTGCCGCAGTTAGGGTGAGAATTTCATCTTTTCTTGATTCTTAATCTTTGGTGGAGGTGTTCAAGCCAGTGACAGCAGAGTGATAGATATTTGACAACCCGTGAATTATTTCGACTAAAAGGGCTCCTTAGAATATAGGTGAGGCAAGTTATTTTTCACTTAATGATCCACTCGGTCTGGGTATAGAGTTCTGAAGTGATGACGTCACAAAAAACTATTTTAAGAATTTTTGAATTTGGAACTTATAACCTACAAGAGCCTCATGAAATACTCTCAACGTGCAAAATCAGTCAATTGTATTACAAATTGGTATAGATATAGCCGCATGTGTGTTGGATCTTTCCCCATCAAACCTCTGTTCATAACAGTGATTCGTTAGCAAACTTCAAATCTTTCATTGCCCATATCTCAACCGACTTTAGACATATTTGGCCAATTTTGCATATTTGAAAGTATTTCATGGTCATATTTTGTGTTTTGTGGTTTAAATTCTAAAATTTTAATGTCAAAAATTCTAAAAATAGGTTTTGGTGGCGTCACATAGGACATTAGAGATCATATGAATTTTGTAGCAGTCACATTGGCTGAAAACTTACAGAAAATAAAATGAGAAAGGTTGTCACTTTCCTTAACTCAGTAAAGATTGCTGTCAAGAACGGGATGGAAGTGCAACTTCAATATGATTAAACTTCTGCATGATGACAAATGAAATCAAGATTTGACTAGGCCATGTTAGCACAAGTTCAAGGACCAGCAAGACCTGAAGACGCTTGGAAAGCATTTTGTTCATTGTGATAGTTATGGGGTTAACAGAGAAGACGACATGTTTGGAAAGGCAGGGTTACAGTTGGGAGACAATACCTTAATGAAATTTATACCATTATAAGAGTCACCCCTTATTTAACAAATATATTTCTTTCTATTTACATGAGAGCTCTTTGTTTTTCAAGTTGCCAAATTAATTTTAAGAAACAAGAAAGTCTGTGAAAGAAGAATTAGTTTTTTTAGCTTAGTCGTTGTTATTTTGTTTTGAGCAGGTTTAGAATTCACAGGTACTTAGGATAAAATAACCTGTGTTCCGAAACCAAGCCACTAGATCTATTTACTTGGTTTGAGGGGCAAGAGTTAACATGAAAACTTAGAAGAATACATTTCTACCTTTGCAGGATCGTTCTTTCCTTTATACCAAATCTAAATATCATCTTGCAAAATCAGTTTATTTAAGACGATTTATCTACTAACCTTCTTAATTTATGAAAAGGGAATTTGACATCAAATTGAATATACACACTCCCCTCCCTAACGGTCGGTTAAAACTATTGGCCTACATAAGTTTCCTGCATGTAAGAAACACAGACACTGATTTTCAAAAAAAACTTCTTTGATAAGAAACTGGTGAAGGCCTGAAAAATGTTTGTTTCTTATTCAAAAATTTTCATATAACTTGATCCTTTGAAAAACAGAACAAAACATTAATCATTCTACACTTACTACTCTGTCAGTTACTTGAATAAAAGGATAAGTGAGGGTTTACAATCATTGACCATAAGAATTGTTTGTTCTCAGCTTTCTAGTTTAATCAAACTGAGCCTGGTCAAATGAAAAAGGAATTTTGAATGCAAACTAAGCAAAAAGCACTTTTCTGGAATAATTATGGCTTTTCCTACAAGTGAAAAATTACAAATACAACTCAAAATATTATGGTATTTTTATCACAGTAATTGAGCTTGTATCTGAGTAGATGATCAATAGTATAATATGGTTTTTCGTATAAGAAACATTCTCCTGATTTGAAGTGTATATCTCATTTTATCAGAAACGCATCAGACCTGAAATAAAAAAAATTGTTTCCTAAATGCAGGACAGTACTGTCATTTTTACTTACGCCTTTTTTGCGAAAAAGTATAATCAAAGTTTGGCGGGAAAATAGAACAATAGGGCCAGGAATTAAACAAAATCAGCAGACAAGCAAGTAAAAATTCTGTTCTGAGAAAATATGCTAGCAAAATTGTTTTCTAAAGAGGAAAAAATATTTTTTTGTGAGCAATGGTAAAACCACAGAGTATGGAGGATGCGGAGCTAGGGGCCATAAAGTTTTTAAGCCAGGCTGGTCATTCATTAAGTGAAATTGAAAAACAAATGGGCTACACGAAGTCTACAACGATAGAATTTGCAACTTATGTAAAAAAGCAGTTTACCGGAGAAAAAGTTGAGAAAGACAGGTCAAAAAAGGTTTACTTTTGTTTAAAAGAATTATAGCATGGTTTGCGAAGAAACTTCTCTATTAATTTTAAAGGAGTATGTGGGGGTGATGTGGGGTGACTAAACTGCAATCGTTGCAAAAGCTGCAGAATCGAGAAGCTAGAATATTAGTTAAAAGCAGAGTTGATGCGCCTGCCATGCCACTGATTCGCAGTCTGGGTAGGCCAACTATAGATGACATTATTAGAAGTGAAACAGCCACAACAATGTACAAGTCGTTAAATGGGCTCGTCCCAGAGTACCTTTCCAACCTGTTCGAAAAAAATTCGACTCGAATTGTGAGAAAACTGAAAAATACCGATACCGATCTTTCGCTACCCTTAGGGAAAACAAACAATGGGCAGAGACTTATTTCTTTCCGTGGACCAAAGCTTGAAAACAACTGTAACCTGATGCCAAACAGGCACCTTCCCTTGCCACCTTTAAGAGAAGAATCAAAAACCAACTATGAACGACCATTCTTATTTCGTAGTATCTATCTTCTTACTTATTAATGTTTTTCACGGCCCCCTGAAAAGCAGTGCTCGTGGACTAACGGGGCTACAGTGCCTAAAAAATTAAAAATGTAATGTAATGTAAAAATTTGCAGAGGTCATTTCCTGGCTGGCCCTGTGCAACCCTTTTGTTATGTGAGTACCCCCACAAAATATTGAAGTTATTCCATGAATAAAATGAACTATGGACTTCAGTTTAAAAATTAATGTTATTTAAACTTTGTTTTACGATTGACTGAAATTTTGAAGTGATTCTTATCATCATTCTATAAATATAGGCAATCTTCTATTTTTGTTTTCATCAACTTGGCCCGGCACTGTCGCAACATTGGCTTCCGTTCGAATACTTTTGGGAGGGGAGTGTACAAGACGAGTATAGATGCAACAATGTTTTTTGGTTTTACAAGCAACAAAGAGCAACTTTTTATTGCAACCTCGTTCTGGTGAGAAATTTATAGGAGTTGCCACGTTTTCAGGTTCGTATTAGAAAAAGTTTCCCAGAGGGGCATAGTTTTTGTTTGGTTAGAATATATTTTGCAATACGGCTTTAATCCAAAGGATTGTAATAAAAGGAGTCATTTTAAATGGAAAAACACAACCCAGCATCAGACAGCGAAGACGAAGCTTTTGAAAGTGCGGACGAGGGAGAGGTAGATGACGGGCCTAGCCCTCCAAAAGGGCCAACTGCATCGACAATTATGGAACAACAGCCTTTGGAATCGTGTAACGCATTAAATAAGGATCTAAAGGATGAAAAATCCGAATCTAAAAATGGTGCTGCTGAGTTAAAAGTAAGTGATATTGTTGAAAAAGAGAAAGATGCTGGTCCTGAAGTTGACGAAGCTTCTCTGAGAAGTGACGACAATGTTGGTGACAACAACGCTGACGAAGGTACTAAGAAAGAAACAGGCAAAAGTAATTCAGATCATGCCCAGGATGTTGAAGAAGAAGTAGCAAAGACTGAAATTGTCGCTGATAAAGCTGATAGCACAAAAAGCCTCTCTTCTGGCGAGTTGGGGGATGCCACGCCTGAGCATAAAAATGCTGACAATGCCGAAGAACCAACTGAACCGTCAGTTGATCTCATTCACGACCTGCCAAAAGACACAAATTCAGAGATGCCTGTTTCACAGGCAATGGATAGACAGGCCAGTGGTTCAGAGGAGACCAAAGAAAGGTAATTAAAAAACTCATTATAAAAAGTTGGTTGGTTATTAATCAAGTTTCTTCACCCAGGCATTGACAATTGTATTTGTTCTCAGCTATATTTCAGATAAACTGCAACACGTCACAGCCAGGATTCCTTGGCCCTACACCCAAACCCCTATGTTGCTATATCTATACACATTTTTTTATAGTACTCGGCTCTTCAAAAAGTTATGAAAGTTGAGGGCTGGATTTTTGAAACCTAAAAAAAATTGAAAAATTTAGACATTCAGAGTTTTAAAGGAAATTGTGGTGAAACAGAAAACGACGAACACAGCATGATGTTGAGGGTTTTTGAGAAATATAGTATAATTATAGCATTTCATCTTCTCCATCACTGCGCCTGCTTAGTAAACTTTCCAAATTTATGTCAAGAAAGTGTTAGGAAAGTTATAGTGCTGAAATCGGGAAATAGCTAAGAAAGTCTGAGGGCTGGGCTTCAAAAACTTTCTTATTAAAAATTTGTCTTCTTTAATAATGTATATACCATCTTGCTGCTTGCAGCAAAAATTTACAGGTTGCAGCTGAAACTGTACAACTGCTCACACATAACCAAATTGGTACTGGATGTTTTTCATCCAGGATCTCCACAGATGCTTTATAGGTTCTTTTAGAATTTAGTCAAATGATGATCTATGTTGTTATTTTTTATGTAAAGGCACTCCCTAGTCTGCAGAGCAGAGACAAAAGAAGCACAAGGAGGTGAAACCCCCGATGATTTTAAAAAAGTACAAAATAATTTAGCCTCTTGCATATTTAGCCACCCAAAAATTTTAGCCCCTGCCCTCCATCAGTGGTATGCTCTGCAGTTCTTGTTGCCAAGTATGGCAGTTCTTGTTGGGAGCAGTTTCTCAAAATAGAGTAGTTTTAGATTTAGTTAGCATTGTGCTGCCTTCTGTATCAAGAAAATTTTTCGCAATGCTTGCTTTTTCTTATATATCATTCACAATGTATCCATTGCTATTTCAGTGAACAGACAAATACTGGATCTAGTGGTTGGGGTTGGGGAGGATGGGGTAGCATGCTTTCAAAGGCAACCTCATCTGTTTCATCTGTGCTTGAAACTGTTGAAACTCAGCTGGGGATACCAAGTCCATCTGAAATGGCTAGGTTAGCAACAGCCAAGATCACAGAACATACCAGCTCAAATGAGAAAGAAAAGGTCAGTTGCCCTCTCTAGACAACAATGTTTTTATAAACTGGTTTGATTTATAAAATTATTGGATTGTGACAAGCCTTATCGAAATGTATTGTAGTCCTGTTGTCAAGTATTTATTATAATGAGAAGTTTGGAAGACAAGAGTATCTTCAGTGCCTCATTTTACAAAATGTTGTTTGAGAAGTCTGTAGCCAATGAGTGCTATCCCTTCAGGCCACAGGAATTTTTATCTACTTCTTCAATTAGAACTAAAGCTCTTCAGTTTTTGATCATGTAAAGATACTTTAAAAGAGAGGAGAGTGAAGCCTGTTAGGTTTTAAAAAATAGTTATGTCAGTAGTTATTTATTACCAATCTGTGCTTTACATTGTCCAGTCCTGGTAATATGAAACTTAGTGGCATGCTGGTAATCGCACGCCTTGAGAAGTTTAGACATGTGATGGCGTGCGGTGACGTGGGATCCATAAAATGGAGACCTTACGATTTTTATGAAGACCTAATGTCATCTTTGTATTAGAAGGTGTGTTTAAAAAAGCATATGAGGTTTTCATAAAACCAAAATCTTTTTATGCAATTTTAGACTAAGTTTCTTGAAAACAAATAATTTAATAAAAAGGATACTGTTTTTAGGCCCTGTTACCATTACTCTGTTTCCGTATGAGAACGGATTCGAGTGAATCTGTTTTAGATTTTGAGTTTCATTAATACATTCAAAAACGGTGTCATTTGATTCCAAACTGAAGTTATTCAAAAAGGCTGCTCAAATTGGAGTCATCCGAAACATAATCATTTGAATATGCGTCATTTATTGGGAACAGCAAAGACAAGAGGCATTCGAAAACTGAGTCATTCAATCTCAGTTTCAAAAAGAGCTCGAGCAAAGGATATGAACGGACAAATATGGAGAAATGGAAACACCCTTGTTATTGTTTTGACCAAGACAGAGTGGCCCGAGGTAATGTGTTCAAGAAAATACGAAAAGAATGGAGAATGAGAACAGAGACACACTAAAACGGAGTAATTGAAAGAAATGCCATCAATATAACCCACACAAAAGAAATTAAAAATTCCTTTAGAGAAGATAAAAAAGAAATTAAAAGGAAAAAAAGAGAAAGAGAATAGTAATTCAAAACGTGAAACTGTGCGTGCGATAAAAAACACGCCTTCGGAGTTTTAGGCGTGTGTGGAGGCGTGCGCTTGCCATCGCACACCTAGTATTACCAGAACTGATTGTCTTGTAGCAATTGTGTTTTTTGTTCAGTGTGATTCTATAAACTGTTGAATGTATGTTAAGATATTACTTTTTCCAATCTTCACTGCTCTTTATGGTTCCTTGTAATTGGTCTTCAGTTTTACCTTTACATTGACTTAAGCAATCATTGCACTTGATTGTTGCAAAGTTGTGTATTTCACAATGCTGAAGTCATAAAGCAAGCATGTTTCCTGGTGATATAATGTGTACACAAAGTGTGTTTTATGCTCATGATTTTTTATCCTTATTAATAAAATATACACTGAAAAGTATGAATCTTTAGAAAAACAATATTAATCAGCCTGGTTAATCAATCACAATTCCAGATATCTCAACCTATGTTTATTTCAGGGAAATGATGAAGAAACTAATAAAGAAACTTCAGGAGATAAGGAAACTTCTCAGCCAGAGGAAGGGGCTGGTACAGAAAGAGGTAACATATTTCTGTTAGATTCTTGCAGCAAACCTGAATCTATCTATTTGCGATTTTTGAATAAATGGTTGTGTTATTAAAACTTTTACTTACTGACTTCAAAGATAACATTTCAAGTAAATCTCTGATTTTCATTTTTTCCAGAAAGTCTGAATATCTGTTTTGTTGTGTATCACCACTTTATTTTTCATAATCCAAAAGGCCTGTTTTAATTTTTTTTCCCCAAGGCTTCACTTTGCTTGTATAGTTACCCAAAACCCCAAATTTTGTCTTTAGTGTCAGCAATCACTTCTAACAGGTTTAGAGCTAATCAGATGCTGTAGCTGAATTCCATAAATGGATGTTTGCCCCATAAAGGACTGTTCAACGTCAGTCTAATTTCAGTTACTCATGTCTTACAGCCAAAAAAAAAGCTTTCAAATATTAAAGTTTCTCAATTTTTGTTTGTTTATAGGACTTAGCTCTTGGCTCTCGGGACTTGGGGTGTCTCAAATAAGTTCCATTGTGCAAAATACTGGGAAGGAAATCGTTTCAGGCAGTCTTGATGCTTTGGAGTTTGTGGGGAAGAAAACAATAGATGCAATATCTCATGGTGACCCAGGCTTTAGACGAAAAAGGATGACCCTTTCGCAAGCATTACGTGATGCCAAAGAAAAAGCACAGCAAAAATCTGCGGAGGCTGTTGAGGAGGAAACCGTAACATTTTCCATCGAGTTTGATAAATTCCAAGGCCTGGCCCATCTTGAAGCTCTTGAAATGATTTCACATGAAAGTGAAGCTGAACTTGAGAAGCTTCTAGAACTTTCTGCAGATGAATCATTGAAGGACAAAAATGAACAGATTGAAATGTTGAAGGAAAAATTCAAAATAATTGAAAACGAGGATGATGATTCTGAAGTCGAGGCTAATGGGATCGACAATTTCGAAGAGGTTGTTATCGAGCAAATAGCTTGTCTGTCCCTCAGCGTTACGCCAACGAAAATTATTAGTGTTTATGAAAAGTCGCGGGCTAAAAGCGAGAAGGTAGATGGCGAAACAGTTTCGACTGATGATCTTTTTTCAGACACGATCAGTTGTTTTGCCGAGATGACTGCTCGATCCGTTGAACTTTTTCATAAAATTGGGGAATTTATGCTCTTACCTGACGTAAAGGCGTTGTTCCTCGTGAAATCTCGTGCAGATGCGCTGAGAACGATTTGCATCACGTTACGATCGGCGGTTTCGACACTGTCAAATAAGTTTGCCGCAACTTTGAATGAAAGTGCGCCGGAGAAAGACGACAAGATCTCAAAAATGATCACAGATATTTATTTAGAAGCTTCGAATAGTTCGGCGTACATTAATGACAGTTTTCATCTCCTGTTACCAATTTTCCAACTTTCGGTGGTTAAAAATTCTTGATTAGAATACTTTGAAGACTATTTGCGATAGATAATAAACAAATGCAGTTGGAATTAATCTACATCTTGAAAGCCTTGTAATATGATGGATTATCCACGACAAAAATATCTTTATAACCCAATCCTACCAAAGATTTTCCCTTTTTAAATCTTTGCCTTTTCCCAATAGGTGAAACCTGAAAATTTGGGTAGATGCAATGCCCGTGTGATTTTCCTCACAATACGTCATTATTGACAAGCAAATCGACTCAGGATCCATCGCACAGAAGTTGCTTAAAGGTTGCTGAAGTCTTTGCACATAGACCCATAGTTCCAACGGACAAGTACCCCACCCCCACTCCAACCCTTTTGGAAATCTTTAACTCAGATAAGACGATCAGCGAATAAGTTTCATCTCATGCCCCCTTCGTCTCGTCCCATGCTTCTTCTTCCTGCCCTTCTAAAGCCCCTCTTTCCTCGTTTAACCCAGCAATCTAAATACCCCATAACTTAACTCTTAGTTTAACTTTATATTGGTATTCGTAGTAAACGCTATATCCATACTTGCTGAAACTGCTTTCGTTATTTTTATTTGTTGTTGATGTTGAAAGTTTGATTGGTTTCAGGAAAGATCGAGTTCAAATCTTTATAAGGTTTGTCAATAGAAATAGTGTGAAATTTCAAGAATGAAATATGAAATCTCCGACTCTTTACATGTTGACTAGCCATATAAGTAACTGCTTTGAATTAATGTTAGTTTTTAAATATTTAAATGACAAACATAATGTCCAGTTTTGTAAAATATGAGTTACAACTTGCTTTCGAGTTCTTTTCCGAAATCCCTAGTTGCTGATCGATTTTCTATAAGTATTGAGTAATTCAGAAGCGAATGGTCCGATTTGCGATCAAATGAGGTTATAAAATATGGCTCAATAGGTGAATGAAATGTACGAATTATTCGGTTAACTAAAGTAATATTGTAAGTTGCTCTCGTGCGCACTGCGTAAGTGGCGATCCTTCCTGTTTTGCCTTTCTAATGTAGAATTGAGGCAATTTTGGATCCGGTTACAGAATATTTATTCCGTGATCCGGTTCCCAAAAACCTACAATCATTGCCAAAAGTCCTTGGAACACTCTGCAATCAATGAAAGATTCTAAAACTTTCTGGCCGTAAGATACAGAAATACCCCCTTTTCCCCGAAAAACAATGTTGATTGAAAAGCCAAGCTAATAGAGTTACATTGGTTGAATTTCAAGCTTGAAATTGTTATTCAAATTTTTTCAAGGGAGAGAGAAGGATGCTACTGAACCTTTGCGAAATTTTGACGTAGTATACCAAGACTTTTGGCAAGCATTGTAGCTTACTAAATGACATCCACCAACCCCTCCCCAAAGAGTGCAGTGAAATATGGGGAATTGACAATTTGTTTTGATTAGAGGTGCATGTACTGCTACGAAAGGGGCAAGTAGGTGTGTGCAAAAATAGCTCGAATATTGGCAAAAGTAGAAACTTCTCTTGCATTATCAAGGGGGGCACAGAAGGCTCCTAGCGCTACTCCTTTGTTGGATAACCCCACCCCTACCCCCACCTCAAATATGGCAAATTGATTTATTTTGCAATAACTTTTATGTATGCTTTCCACAATGCCTATGTCATCCCTGCCTCCATTCGACTCTATCCCATTAAAGGACCAAACTTACCCGGACAATTTTAAAGATAGCCGTTTAATTTGAGGCCCCGCAATGTTTTTACATTAGGTGAATAAAAAGTCCCCCCATTTACAGCAGCTCAATAACAAAGCAAAATTAAAAAATGAACAGCATTGAGCTTTTGCTTTTTTTGGGTTGGGTTTACTACAAGGAACCTCTTGTTTCGAGAAAGGTTCTTTACGGGAAATTAAGCTTATATGGTTTATCAAAAGCTCCCGCCTGTAGTATGTTGCCTTGCCTGTTTTCAACAGTAATTTCCTTCGTACCGGAACGTTGGGATTTAGGTCCAATGGGTGAAATCTATGAAGGAACAAAAGGCCCCGGAAAACTGCTTTAAACCTTGTGGTGACTCTAACTTCCTATTAAATCTGCACAGAACGCCCTTGATAGCCGTGAACAATCTTGATATTGCCGTGAACGATCTTGATATCGCCGTGAACAATCTTGATATCATCTGATTGTTTCAAAAAAATGCGTCTCTTGTTTTTCTAGATTTCAAATTTTTTTTCTACACAGTTATTTATACTTTTTATACACGTAAAAAAGTACATTTTACAAGAACAAGATTACAAAGACGATGCCAGTGGGAGCATGATAGGCATGGCTACCCATTGACCTTAACAAAAAACAATACAGTAGCACAAAAGGCTATACCAAAATCCTGTTTAGTCCGTGCGAATAGCTGGTTCGATCAAAAGACAAAGAGGCTTTCAAATTTATATAACCAGCCTTGAGAAACAACTCTCCAACATAAGACTGAGAGATTTACTTTTCACAAAATTTCTATTTTGTAATCTGAAATTTATTTTCAATTACTGGGGCGGCGCCAAAAAATTCAAAGTGGGGTGAACGGGGGGAGCTCGAGTTGATAGCTTTATTAGACTAAAAAGCCAACTGTTAAAAAACGCAATAAAATTCTTCATGATATTTTATGCCCATGATTTTATAGGGCAATCGTTATGCTAACGGTACATTGGAAGGGCCGGCGATAAGTTGTCGGAGGCCCTAGGTATATAAATTATTGCGACCACACCCTTTAGGCAAGCTTAAAATACATTTCAGACAAGCTCAAAATACAAATATTCCTTGCAGTGATTTTCTTGCAAAAATTTAAAAATATTTTGCTATTTATAAGGCATGTTTTTAATACGTTTTATTAATTCCAGTCTTAAAAAATAAGACCCCATAGACCTGTTATTTATTGGAATTTAAGCAATAATAGGATTTATCGCACTTTTCTTTTCTTCTTTTTTTTCTTTTATTCTTTTTATTTCCTTAAAAAAGCTCTTTTGCAAGAATAGCACTCTGTATCACTTAGTTCTGTATCATTAGGTTCCTTATGTTCACGCTTCTTATCTTTGGGACACGATTTTGTTCTGCTAACATGTATATGTTTGCTTAGTAAAACTGAACCAAATTCCTACGCCTATGTCAGCAAATCATGGTTACTTCACTTATGACACGATGATCTCTAAAGAAAACTTTCTCAAGGACCGGAAAAGCCAAAATAATCCTACGGTTTACTTATTCGTTTGAGTCGATGACGCAATACTTCATGGAGCCATATTGGATTTCCTACAACTCGTTACAGGACGCAGCCCTGCCCTGACGTATGTCTTTACCAAATACCACGAGTTTATCCCCATTTGTGAGTCAAGAGCATTCACAATAAATAATTTCCTGTTTTCATTAGTTATATTACAGCGGTACCCAGTAAATTAACGGAAATGAGGAAGTTGTACTGTCCGCACCCTCAGGATGAAAATGCTTAAAAGTTAACAGAAAAAGTTTTTCAGATGAAAGAACAAGTACAATCCTGACCTTGTGAACCTGCATCTCTCTACAAATAGGCATGCATCGTTTGGCACTCTTAGCACTTATGGTATCTCTTGCTATGGCTGGTGAGTACAAATAAAAATTCGCTAGACTATGATTTCATTATGTTTTATGCAACAATATTGGATGATGTTTCATACCGATGTTTTATTCGTTTGGCCAGGGCTTTGAGACATCTCTTCGACACAAATATAAGATCCATTTCTGTCGAAGTAATTCGAGCTTAAGTACCAGCCCTTAACAAACTTAAGAATTATCCACCCCACTATCATTAAATAATATTTGTTCAATTTCTCTGTTATAAATCTCTGTAATTTCATTCCTATAAAAACTAATTCATTCTTTTTGTGTATTCTAAGCAGGGTTCGGATAAGGTTCCACAATGAGTAGCTATGATTAAAGCAAAGTTTGATAGTTTATAATATGATTCTCTGTTGGCTTGGACCTATATGGTTGTATGTTTTTGCACTTTTTTGCCCATTGTCATACTGCGCTCCTTGATGTCATAATTTCAATTCTTTTCCACTCATTCCTGACCGAAATACACTCATACTTTAATAAGAAAGTCGGCATTGAGTACTCTAGATTCTAAAGGCTGTGGGAAATTTTAGCTGCTTTTTATGAAATTCCTAATTGTAATTTCACAGTATTTGATATTTGAGAGTTACGTAATTCTGTCCATCCACTGGTTTAAACACAAGTTACAAAATTTAAGAGTATAAAGGCAACTTGTAGGTATGTATGATACACGGGGGGTGTAGATCTGGGGAGCTCAGGGGGGTCTGTCCGATCATTAATGCTGAAAGTAGTCTTTTGCTACATTTTACTATTTTTATTGAGGACTTGTTTGGCGAGCAGAGCGTTCACTGGAAACTGACTTCTAACATTTTGCATTATTGCAAAGTTCAATTGTTTCTTGATCTTTTACATCTACTAGATATTTTACTTGATATCTTTTCCTACATGATAAAATGAATGTACAGTTTGTTCTGCCGGTCTATACCAGGGGTGTTGCCAAAAGGGGGGGGTGTACAGGGTGTGTTGTAGCCCTCCAATACTTCATCCGCCCGCACATAAATGACTTTTGTCTGACAAAAAAGAAATTTTTCATCACCCTGGAATTTTTTGCAACAATTGTAACGTACTAACATTTCTGTAGTAGTTGAACTTTAAAAGTATGGCACTAAAGTATAAACTTTGAAACAGAAACGCATAAATGCAGATAAAGATATTTATCTTTTGACAACACCCTTAAAGAATGAGACACGCCCTTTTTGTCGGCAAAATTCATATCTTTACTCCTCCAAAAAATTTTTTGGCTCCGCCCCTTGCTCTACATATACCGAAAATTTCTTTTCAGGACCATTCAAGCACAAGCATTCAGTGGACCTTTTAAAAATGGACTTGACGAGGTTCAAAGGAGTGACTAAAACCGCGAATTCAGATTGGTTGTCCTTTGGAAAACAAACAGGTGATATTGTCCTGGATAGTGACATTTTAAAAAAATTTATGAAGAACTCGGAGCGTTCTGATGAGATGGCTTTCAATTCAGTTGTAAATTTGAAGGAATTCGACATTACTGGAAGAGGCACAATTGTTTCATTTACCTCGATGTTTACGAACAAGAAATATTTTGAAGTTTACATTCAAAAGACGAGAGATCTGCAGCAGCACCTTGAAGGCTCAGATATTGGGTATGTCTGAAATTTTACATTTAGATACAATTGTTAATTGGAAACAAATTGTTCTCATAATTTTTGGGAGGTTCGAGCCCCGCCCTCACAACGGGGTACCAGAGCCTCAGCAAAGAAGTGGGGCAAACAGTAGAACAGTGGAAGCTTGTAAGTGGTTGATATTAATCTCTGGGTTAAATGGGACTTTCACAAGGGTCGATAAATACCAATGATGTCAGCAGCTTGAGGGCAGTGGGGTTTAATATATCCCCATTTAATATAAAGAAAGCAGGAAGATTTGATTAAGTAAGGCCTATGGGTGCACTGCTCATAATTTTGCCTGAAAATGTACCAATGATGCTATAAAGGGGTCGATTCGTCTAAAAAACTTAGGAATTTTCCTGTTTATGTTCTTGTTGCGATTCGTGTAATCCATAACATTCTTTGACATTAAGATCGATCTGGCCTTGCTTTACACAGGAATTCTCAAGCCCGAGATATATACAGTCTAGGCGTGACTTATATCAGCAATGGACGAACTGTTGATCACGTGGTACCATTGGATGGCAAATTTAGGCCTAACCAATGGTTCACTTTGATGGTGCGCGTCATCGGAAAGGCAGAAATTGTGATAAGTTTTGACTGCGAGCAAGTAGAAAGCATAAAGCTGAATGACAAAATGGATCGAATACCGATGTATGTGGAAGGAAGACTAGCACAGACTATTGACACGGATTTTTGGACGTTCAAAAAGATCACTTCGAGTAGATTTATTGTGAGTAGAAGTTTGAAAAGCGACTTGCAGCTCTTTGCCAAACTTCACAATGATGGTCAGATTTTTAATTTTTCCTGTTCTTTCATATTATCATTACCTATTTGGCATCATTATTAATGCAAAATAAACTTAAGATCATTTTGCAAAGAAAGGAGAGTTAAGAAAAGAGTGACTTGAGAAGATTACAGATTTGAATTTGAAACATCTTGCTCTCTGACAATTTTTTTCGTACTTGCAATAAATGCTTTTGAGATTTTGATACTGCAAAATGAAAGACATGAACAATTTACTTACAATTGTCCTTTTAATAAAGTACCTTTCAACTTGAATCTAGCCTCGGTATGATTTGCATGTATGTATGAATTTAGCCTCATTTTGATGCTTAAGAGATCTGATTTAATTGGTTAAAGTACATTTTATAATGTTGCTATTGACAAGCGAAAAAATAATTCTCTCACCACTCACTAACAATATGGTTTCTTTCAAAGGGTGACATCAAAGAAGCAAGTTTTCTCTTTGGAAAAGCAGCATTCGAATCTGACAACCCTTGCAAAAATTATCAACATCCAGGTATGTCTTTGCTACGAATTATTTCCTGAGATTATTGCACTTCGTATATGTCTGGTTTATCAAGGTGTCAGTCTTATTACCTTGATGACCGAAACTCCAAAGCTAAGATAGTAAAATAACAATTTCATTCATTTTTTTTCATTTTATCATATTGCTACACAGAAACCCTATCAGCTACTAAGTTAAAAAAGAAAAAGTAAAGATTAATTTACATATAATGCTGGTCTTCCTAGGGATGGTGCTTCGGGAAAGAATGCTAATTTTGCAGGAATTCCTTTAATTTCTTTTTCAACGTGGTAATCGTGGAGCTCATTCTTATCTGTAATGGAATTTCGTTCCACGCCTGAGCATTACAATAGAAAAAACTTCTTTTGGAGAATTCTAGGTTTTGCCTTGGGATGTCAAAAGAAACTAATTGCAAAACGGGAAATACAGTTAGTTGCTGCAAGACCGTAACTTCTATAGGGTGAAGGGTTGGGGGTGCGAGTCCCCTAAAAAAAAATTTGTCTCCTATGAACAACCCATTTTGTTCCTATTGTTATCTAAGCTCGATGCCCCCTCCCAATAATTTTATTCTCTCTACGGCACTGACTCTCTATGCCAACACTTCTTCATCTCATTATGTGACAAACAAGTAAGATTCTTTAAAGCTTAGGATCCGATTGATCTTTACATTTCTGTCCTTAGGAATGGCAGTTGAAGGAAGAGATACAAAGTTTTCGGAACAGCCTCAAGCTATGCCATTGACTCTTGAAAGCCTGGTGAGGAACTATATTAGAGTAAAGAATAAGCTCTGAGACTGTTGTAATGATTGCACAGCCCGGATTTTAAGAGTGTTAATATATTGTATTGATACAATGTTCATAGATGAAAAAATGAATCGACAAAAACTGACAATATAATCAGCTTGAGTAATACATCGTGTTGTTAATTGCTAAAGAATAATATGTTAACTATGTTCAGAAATTGATATTGATAAGATCCAGTGGAAATTGATAAGATCCAGCAAATGCCCCATAAAAAGCCCCTACAGTTAGAGACTCGAGGCCTCGCTGAATTGGTACAAGTCGTTTGTCGTTTGGTGCCCACCCCATCCTCCCTATTGACCAGCACTTCAACCCGATTGCCCCTCGTACCTGATCAAGCTTTATTAGAATATATAATCGCAGATGTTTTCCTTGGTGAACTTTTATTGTAATAATAAAATGTTTATTAGGGTTAAACGTACTATTTACCGCAGAAAGTGTTAACAAACTTCTTGCTTTTTAATTGAGGAGCATATAGTGGAGAACGGTATCAACATAGGGTTTGACAATGAAGGAACTTTACTTCTTACTTACGATTATCGCTGTTTGCCATAAATGTGTGATCGGTTATTGTCTGTGCTTCATGGAAATATAAGAAAAAGAAATGTCCAGGAAAGGTTTTGCATTTCTTTAGTTTTTTAGCTGTTTGATCCTTGTGCAAGTACAGATAAAAACCCTTTGGTTGTCAGAAAGAGGGGTGTTAAAAGAAAGGCTGAAAAAAACCAAATCCGTATATGGAAACAAAGAGGGCAGCAGTTTTAAAGAAGGATTTACTGTATACCTAAAATGCGCGATATGAGTGACAAAAGATGATCGAAAATTTTTTTGAAATATAGCATTTTCGTTTTAGTTTGGTTACGGGCCTCTAAAGTGTTTTCTTGGTTTGGATGAAATTGAACATGGAAAGGAATGGAATGAAGGGCCGTGTGAGATTTGCAGCTGCCACGTAAGAGAACTCTCTTTGCACTTTAAATTTTTTATATTTTAGCCTCGAGTTTTTAAGGCCAAATTTAACCAAGTTTATTTCTTAAAATGGAAATGCTAGTTCAATTTGAAATGAAAAAATGCATCTTTCCGTTATACCTAAAATAATGATTGTACTTTTGTAACTGAGTCCTTATTTCATGTTCCTACAATGTTAACATATAAATGAATACTTTCAATATTGCGATTAGAAATATATGGCTTAAAAAAAGTAAAATTTGACATTGAAGATCCCACTTTAAAAGACACTTACAGTGTGAGAGCTAAACGAGGCATGGATTTATATGAAGAAATTTTTTGGGGCCAATTGAGGATCGAGAAATATCAGCAGACTTTCAATCCTGCCCCCTCCCCCGAATTTCAATCATTGACCAGCAGTTTGACTTCTTGTGCAGGGTAAGCCCTGATAATCCTGCGAGCATGGCTTGGGTGCAGAACGTTGATACTTTATTCGATCCCAAATACGGGACCATACACCTAAGAGATTTTTCATTCTCCAAAATGCTACCTTAAACTAAGCCCAATTCGTTTTTCGATTAATAAGATGCGAGTATGGGGTAGCCTTTTCGAAAGAAACAACATATATTTGTCTGATATAGAACCGAGCAACAAAAAATACACGTTTTTAATTTATAAGAAACCGGCTTATGAGAAACTAGTACAAGGATGACAGAAAAATTAAGAAACTATCGTTCTAGGCTCACGAAAAATTGAGAAAGTGTAAAATTTCAATTTTCAAGTAGTCCAAAAGTCTTATTTTATTGATTTTTTTGGGAAAAGATAGCATACTTTGTGATTTTGATCATCTGCATGGGTTTTTCGTGATGATCTGCGTCTATTTTCTTCCAAAAATGCTCAACTTCCAAGCAATAAGGTGGTTTCAGGCTCCGAAAATTGGAAGCCAACTTTTAGTGCAAAGTGCAGCTCCAAGTTTCTTATATAAACGTGTAGTTCCAATGATTTCTTTTCATTTGTCTTTGACATCAACGTTTGGTAATTGCTAGCTTAAACTGTGATTAGGTAGAACATTGAAAAGAATTGTTACTAGTGATTTTTTCAAGTTGCTTGATAAAAATATCATCAATTGTTGGAGTTTCTTAAAACGTGAGATGTGGCGGTGATTCAGATTCATCTCTAAGTTTGTGTTGAACAACCTGTACAGAAAATGTGCCAAAGTAAAACATCAGTGTTAGGGCTGTAGAAAAGAGGGGGGCTTAGGAGGGCTCAGCCCCCTTCTACTTTTCAAAGTCTATCACAGTCTGCCGGAGCCTAGTTTTAATCGTTTACTTCTGATTTATACAGGATGGCAGAATCTCCTGTCGGCACCAAGCAAATTGCACGAGTAAGTATACTCTTTGTTATTATGTCCTTGGGCTGGGGAACTGCAGCCAAATTTTAGCGAATTGTAGGCCCATTCGGGAAATTTGATCTGAATGAAGCAGAAATATTCAGGCAAGACCCTACTCACCCCCTGGCTCTTAAATATATAGCCTCCACTACATCCATGAATGCCTTTCTGCTCTCTAGAGGCTGGCTTTGTTTTTTTTAGTCTTGCAATTGTCATAAATAGCAGTTATGCCGTAGTAATACATGGAGCATTTGCCACAATCATTTCATGTAAGGCACTTAGACCAACGTGTAGTTCACAGTCCTTAACTTCCTTGGCTATCTGGGATAAATGGTTTCTTATAAGTTCAATAGCTCTTTTGAGACATTGAACATAACTGTAACAAATTTTGTTCAGAAGCGTCTAATATGCGATGTTTGTTAGAAATGTCAAACCTTCCACGTCTTAGCTGTGCTTACTCAAAATCTTTCTATGTTGTGGCTGCAGCTACTTTTTCATTGTTTATTTGTAAGTGTGAGAATACCAAGAAAAATCCTTGACGGTTTTTGTCATAGATAGAAGTGCACTCTCCTTCCCGTAAAAACACGCTGTAAAAGAACACCGAGGCTCGATTTGCCAAAAATAAGACCAACAAAAATGTAAAAATAAAAAATAATATTTCAACTGGTCAGAAGGAAAAACTGTCTCTTATCTTTAAAGGACTTGTATAACGTAACAGCGTGAGAACGGGCAAAAACTATCTAGAAAATAAGAACATTTAATAAGATAGTATACTCTGCCTGCACTGCACCATATTAAAGGTTTCGAAAAAACCAGAATAAACAGAAGCGATCAGTAAGCAGTAAGCAACATATCAACTGCACTTTTGTAGAGATACTTTTAAAGACATCTTTTTTTAAGGCAAAAAAGATCCATGAACACGTGCTATCGAGAAAATACAAAGACTTTGGTTGCTGTTTCAAAACAGTATTTCTCACATTCTCAAGTATCTTGATGCTACATTCTTCAAGCAACATGCATGGTGCTGCATTGTCCTTGAAGTATTCGAATATGGAGATATCAACATCGCTTCTGGAACAATTAGCTGTAACACTTTAGATAATTCTCTGAAATACCTGAAGATAATCAACGAACAACCTCAACTTGAATTCTCAGCTAAGGTGCAGACCATCTGCCTCAATTGCTCTTTGACAATGTAAATCAGGCCTTCGCAGCTGCAAATATGGCCGGAAAAATTGTTAAAACAAGTATTTTTAACGAACAGTATCATTGCAGGGAGAATAGAAGTTATGCTTTCAAATTCTTTCCTGCTTTTATTTATTTGCTTTTATTGTAAAAAGATTGATTAAAACTGCTACTTATATCAATAGTAATTGTGTTCTTAGTTTTTCCATCTGGTGGAACCGCTATGTAAATAATTATAGCTCAAATACTTATATGGCAGTAAATTATGCAATAAATTATTCTCAATTCAGGAATGTACTTTTTGTCAAATTGCTATTTTTCTGACGAGATGAAGATTGGACATTTCAAACTTTAGCCAACATGGCGTGATACGCTTATGAAAAACTACTTACATGAAAATCTCATTCTGCAACGAAGAATAAATTTTTGGGGAAATTCGCACCACTTCACGATGAAATTTGTAAACTTCTTTCAAAGCTGAAAATTTTGCCCATAGCAGACATATTAAAACAGGGGTAGAATATTAAAATGTTCCTCAAGGCTATCACTAAGTAGCCTTTGCTCAGGACCCCCTGCAGCTTACTGAAGTCCTTAGACTCAAAGTCTTCAACCTACTGTACAATGTGAAGTAATACTTTATAGAAGCTATGCAATATAACTGTTTAAATTTTCAAATCTTGGACAAAATTTTCAAATCTGGTGATAAGCATAAAATTGATACGGTCTTGGTCTTCAATATCAAATAAAGATACAATTAATGACTAATATTGACCAATTTGGGTAACCAAATTTGGCCCTTGAAGATTCGGATTTTAGCTGACAAAATCCAAGCAGCAAATCACTCTATGGTAGAAATCGGTAAATCCTGAGAAATCATTTTGTTTTATTTCGAACGAAGGAAAATTACTTTAGTCCAAGTAATTTATGTCTCTAAAAGGTTCGTTTCGCTACTCCTTTTTACCCACAGCTCAAGTTTGAAATTTTTCCGATATAACAATGATTTTTCCGGAAATCTGTCAAATTTTGGAAACAGAGGGGGCCAAGCCCCCTGCTCCCCCGGCAACGACCCCCATGCAGCAGCAGCAACACTTTGCTTCCTTCTTTACTTCTATTCTATCAATCTCTAAAATAGAATAGAATAATCATGTACTAAGCTGGCGTGCAATCCTTCTAGAGGTACCTACGTAGCCTTTTTGATTTCTTATTTTTCGGGTTAATATGAAGGGTCAATCTAAAATTGTAAATGTCATTCATGGTGGGGACTAAATGGCCTTGTGTCTTTTCCCATGATGTGTGGTTTATTCAAGTAGCACAGGCACCGCGGAGCGTTGAGAAAAGTGGGGGTCTAAAAAGAATGGGGGGGCTAAAACCGCATAAAAAGACCTAAAGCCCCCTCAGCCCCCTTGCTCCGCGGTGCCTGTAGCACTAGCTTTGGTTAGTTTTGAATTTATAGACAAAAGTATTTGGTAGCCGCTCATAAAACTAGTTAAAATGGCGCTAAATTTTGCGAATTTTGATTTTCTAGTGCTGGCAGAAAGAGTTTTTGAAGAAAATTTCTGCATTGCATCGTGGCGTCCATTTGTCTGTACACTGTGTCTGATACATAAACTTTGTATGTATTGGGATGAACTTTTATATACTATGTGATACTATATGATACTAGTTAGGCAGGGTCACTAAGCCCCTCTCCACAATTTAACATTTCTTCTAAAAATGCCAGGCGGGGGACGTTGTAAGTCTGACTTGCGAAATTTTAGCAAATTCTCCCATAATGCAATGGACATGGGCGTTCCTGCGAAGGAAAGCAGGGCTTTCAAAAACGCTGCGGGGCAGCTTGTTTTCCAATGTTTTGTTCCGAGTCCAAAAATCAGGAAAGTTGAAAGAAGGATGTTGCCAAAAATGAGCAGTGAATGACAATAAAAACATGCTATGACGCATATAGCTTTGTTTTTAAAATTGTTATTGCAATAAAGTTTACCTCGTACATCCGGAAGCGTGCTACATTGTCCTGTTAGCACTTTCTTTGACGAGAGGCCTAAAAAGAGCTGTTCACACTGCTCTTTTGAAGGCCAAAAGTGACGCAAAACGGCGAAATATCCAGAGGTTTGTGGAAGTTATACTATTTTATTTGTTGCAGATTTCTAAAGTTAGCTGATAGGTATGTTGATCGAAATCCGTCAATATTTAACCGCATACCACGAAATATTTGGCAGATAAGGGATCAATTGCTTACCTAGACTACGTCAGCTTTGTTGCAAAGTTGATTCCGTTTAAATGGTTGAGTAGGAAAACAAAACCAGATTCAAAAAAGGACTCTCCTAGACTTAATGTACAAAGTGCATTTAATTTATAGATAATTTCAATTTTGATTATTGGAAAGTTTTCACTATAACTACTTTATAAGATTGGTTAGTTTGAGATAGATAATGCACAGGCGCAGAGGAGCAACTTGGTAGCAAATTGCTTCTCTCTATACTTCTGCCCCCATTTTTCTAATTTTATGCTATTTTCTATTCAATCTCAAAAGTTAGTTAAATATCTGTTAATTGACATTAATTTTGTTTTAGAAAATGGTGCGTTCTCCAGATTTCCCCATTGAAGGCACAGGCGAGAAATACCCACAAGGCAAAAGTACATACAGAAGAAATGTTTGCTCCAACATACCACCAACAACTTTCAAGGTTGTTGTAATTGGTGATATGTGTGTGGGAAAAACATGTTTGATTTGTCGTTTGTGTGGTGGTAAGTTTCCAGAGCATACAGAAACAACCATAGGTGTTGACTTTTTGGAAAGGACAATGGAAGTTGAAGGAGAAAGTATTAAGGTAGGGTTTACTCAACTAGTTTCTTGTCAACGTATATCACCCAGAGTATAAAAATACGCAATTTTTTTCCTGTTATGACACATATTGTTTGTTCAGAAGACAGACTTGACAAAGTCAAAAAAGTTCCGTAATTTCAAATATTAATAGCATGATGTTTATTAACTTTCTGACTGATAATTTTAAACAACCAAGGACATAGATCTAACTAAATGCCAAAATTGATATTTCAGTTACAATTATGGGATACTGCTGGCCAGGAACGATTCAGGCATAGCATGGTACCTCATTACTACAAAAATGTAGATGCTGTGGTTTTTGTTTTTGATGTTACACGAAAAACATCATTTGATAATATTCCAAGATGGATACAAGAACTTCAAGCCCAGACTTTTAAGGGCAGAACAATACCTCAGGTTGTTATTGGCAACAAGTGTGATCTACATGCAGACAGACAAGTTCACACCAGTGATGTGAAGAAACTTGCAAATCACTACGGGTTGCCTTATTGGGAGACATCTGCAAAAAGTGACCTGGAAAGGGATACTGTTGATCTGATTTTTAAGTCAATTGCAGAGAGTTTGAAGTTAAAGACACCATTAATGGGATTTCCACCTGAATATTCTAGTACAATAAACCGATACAGTCAGTCTGGACTAAGAGTTAGCCAAAGTATAGTTGCATCAGGTAATTCAAACTCACAAAGCATGAGTGGCAGTGAAAGGACTAGGTCCCATACTCCTGAAAAGAAAGGCAAATGCTGCAACAGTTGACAATCTTCATAAGATAGTATTGCCATTTTGAGAACTTAAGTATTTGGCAATTTTCTTGACATTAAATGTCACTTGAAGTTGCATCTGAAAATTCATCCTTTTCAAAAACTTCAAGTTCAACATCTTTAATCCTCTTTGCTGGTATGAATGGTAAACAATGACAAAGTCAGCAAATTCTATCATCTAAGGCTGAAATTCATTAGATTGTTTTTGTAATTTGTAATTGGCCTAGTTAGATAATAATACCTTCCTGGTAGTATAACAATAAATGTGGAGCATTTATTTTTCAAAAGTACATGCATTCTAAAAACAGTGTACAGAAACAGGGCAAATCCAAATAAAATTCCATTACAGTGAAAATGATTCCCTTAAACAAAAATATAGAACAAAACCAAATTTGTTTTGTTACAAAGTATTAAGTTTTGTTATAAAGTACCAGAGAATCAGTTGCTAAAGAGATAGAAGAAGCGAAGAATCGTTTTTCTGACCCCCATGTGCTGAACCCTGCCTTTTGTATTTGGGTCATGCTGGTACCCTGTTTTCAAAACCTGTATCCTGCAGCCTGCCCCCTTCCCCTGGGTCATTCCTGCATTCCCAATATCAAGCAATCTTTGTCCTGAGAAAACTTACTTTATCCATTTTTATTGCTCATAAGGCAGCCTGAATAGCCAACAAAGCTCAAGAAAACTCAAAAAGCAAAAAAAAACAATCAAGACTTTATAATTCTCAGAGCTCAGCCCTTGATAGGAATTTTTTTGTTTGATGAGATTCTCAAGAACTACTTTTCAACTTAGCGCTATATTGTTATTCACAATGCTGCTTTGCTTGCTTTAAGGCAGTTTAATTGCAGGAAAACATTACTTGGTTTTTAGTCATTAAGATTTGGGAAAAAGAATTTGAAATTATCATGTGAATGGATAATTTTTGCAATAATTTAAATTATTCAGTAAAACCTTAAAATTATTTAGTTTGTATGTGAAGAGTTGTATAAACACTCTATCGCCACTTTTCTGATGTCAAATTTATTAAGATTTCTAATTTTGTTTGGTGATTGTTTTGACCCAATAAGTATAAATTTTTCCCCTGTCCAGTCCTTCAAAAGGTCAGCATATTTGATTAGCTTTTGTATAAGGGGTACAGATGGGGTTGTTTTTCTAAAAGGTAGACAGCTTTTAGAATTGTAAATAGAGGGCACTGTAATGTAATTATTTGTACTAATTAGATTTACAATAATTTGTAAGTTCTTTTGGAAAATAAATTATGTTTGATTTATCTGAACAGTTATAATTTTTTGTGTTTTATTAAGCATATCATGTTTGAAGATTTTTTATCTATTGGCCTGGAATCTGAAGTTACAGTATCATTACCTTCAATAATGGTGAAAATAAAAATGGTAATAATAATATTCCTCCTCATCAATCATCATATGTCACCATCATCAATTACGACCATTATAAATGTTGCTCTTTTTTTAATATTTATTTTGCTAAAACTACATGCTAAGCATTGTGTCTAACACACCATTAAATAACAGTTTTGCATGGCTATTTTAGAAGCACCATTGATAAGCTGATATCTGTTCGGTTTTGTTAACATGAAACTATATTTTCAAAAACAAATTGTGTTTTCGGTCACTGGCTTTTTAGGCCAAGGATTTTAGGAAATCCCGTGTGTTGTATGACAAATTATACTTAGGTAACTCAGTACATTTAAAAACCATGATTAAAAAACACATATACACGATCAAAAAAAATTTTTTCTCAGAATGTTCGCTGCCCTTCGGCAGCTTCCTCAGTAAGAATACTCTATATCTATACATATTGGTTCTTATTCAGGATATATCCTTATTGAGGAGGCTGCCGAAGGGCAGCGAAAATTCTAAGAACAAATTTTTTGATCGGGTTTTTTTCAATTATGGTTTGTAAATGTACCGAGTTATCAAAAACAAATTTTTTTTTAAGTTTTTTATTTGAGACTGATCATGTTCTTACCCAACAGATCCTTTGTTCATATAAAGCGTGCCTCATAGAAAACAGAGTTTGCTAAATTTTCTCATGAGCGGAGATTTTGAGAGGTTTCTTTGAATAGAAATGTGTTTACATTTTGCATATTTGCGAGTACAAACAAAAATGGCATGTTGCAACATGAAAGCGGATATTATACCACTCTACGCCAGTTGCTAAATAAAACTTCGATTTTCATATTATGGGTAATTTTGTAACTTCCACTATAGTTGAGTGGAGGATTACTAGCTCCTGTACAAAGGGGTAATTGAATCTTGCACAGAAATAATCGGATTTCCAGGAATTTTCTTATCAATGAGATTTATACAAAAGATATACTATTTTTCTACAAAGTAATTTGACCCTCGTCCCAGTAAGGCATTGTCAACTTCCTGGTTCTGTTCGTTCTGCTCTGTATCACCTAACTACATAATAGAGAAATGTTTGCGGAAGTAGATTGCGTCACCGTTACCGAACGGGAACTTCTGGAGGGAACTACAGAACTCTGGATGGAACCGTTATTACTTTCAGAGGGAATCCAAAACAAACCGGAACGCTTTCGAATAGAAATCCCGTATTTCGACAACCCTCTGGCTCTGCTTTCTTTTCTGCTGCTTTCAACTTCCTTTCAACCTGTAATTCGTTAATAACCTGGGGTAAATGCCCAATATGAATGCAGCACCATGAATGGCATTCATTTCCATGTACAACCGCTTATAAGCAGATGTCGTAAGAGCTGATCAGATCAATAAATCGTCGTTGCTGTACAGTGAGCATTTCAAGTCAGATTTTTTTATTGTTATCAGACATTCTTTGTAACGATAAAACCAAGCTTTCAAGAACGCTGGCATAAAAGGTATAAAAGAACGCCAATTTTATGGTATTGGAAAACAGCTGTATCCTTTGAGACAATGGATTATAAATATCATTTTAAAGTGATCTTGGTTGGAAATGCAGGTGTAGGAAAGACTGCTATGATTCGCAGATTTACCCGTGGTTTTTTTCCTTTCCAAGAGGCTCCCACGATTGGTGTGGATATGAACGTCAAAACTGTTCTTGTGGATGGCGAAAAAGTCAAGGTAAGCGTCCATACTTCCTTTCTTTAACGCGTCCATACTCTCTTTCTTTTAAGCGTCCTTATAAACCTTATTTTGTAATAAAGACAAGAGTCCTACAGTCCTTTTTGATATCCTTGTTAAACCAAAGTTAAACCAAATTTTTGACAAAGAAAGAAAAGGTTGTCAATTCGACATTTCCCTAAAAAAATGTTATTTTCTTCAAATGAAAGTTGGCAGCTTGTGAATTGATTAGAAAGTTTAAGAAAAAATCTTCTCTGAACATGTGTATTCAGGTAATAAAGTGGGCCATTCTTTTAGCTTATATAAGCCAAGGATAGAAAAATGCATTAGAAATGAATCTGGCTAATCTGAACAGAACAGTCCAATATTTGTTCCAGACTTTTTATCTAAACCCATTTTCATGTTGCCAGTGAATGGAAAATATGAAAACCTTAGTCAAATACTTTTTCGAACTATAAAACCCGGTCATGGGTGATTGGAAAGTAACACATTATATAATAACAAAAACACCCCATGCCCCTAGCTATTTTTACCCATTTACATCCACAATAGGAGTCAGTAGCCATCCACAACGCTTTATTTTTTAAGTCCCAGATCAAGTACCGTCGCATTCTCTTTTTTCACAATCGTGCAATAAATACTTAAGTGATGATGACAAATATTTTTGTCATAACCTCATTTCTTTGATGTCGTGTTTTTTTGCCATGGTGACCTCCAAAATAGTGATTGTATTTCTAGTAAATTGCAGATTCCCAAATTTATTCCCCTCAAACCACAACAGCTACCTCCGCTCAATAAAGCACCTGCTGTGTTTCTGCATAGATAATGTGAGATCACATTAATTATTGCGAAGGATCAATTTACCTTGGCAGCATGCCGAAGTTTCAAACTCAATTGAGTATGTATTATTGCTCATGTCAAACACGACAAAGCAAGCACGAAATGACAATTTTTCCAAAAATAGAATTTCGGGTCAATCATCGTCAAAGCTTTAGATAACTTCTAAAATCTGTTGCATGTGGTCTTTGGCAGTTCTAAGTTCCTTAGTTTAAAAGGGAGCAACTTAGAACCGTCCTGTTCCTTGCATCAAAGCGTTGCAGCCCTGTCTAAACGGCATCCAGAACTATATTGATAACTTGTTTGGTTGTAATTCTAGAGTTTGGGATGATGCACTATGTTGCAAAATTTGGAAAATATATCGAATGAAATCGTCAACATAAATTTTATTGCTGCATAGGAGCAGCTTAAATAGAGTTTCGTAAACTTTAGTTGATTGAAATGCAAAAGAACAAAATTTATACATTGACATTGTCCTCATATCCCAAAATGGACTAGTTACTCAAATATGACACGAAAGTAGTTTAAATGAATTGTTTGCTAGAAGTTAAGTCTGAATGATTCGCAAGAAAGTGTTTACTGTGGCTTGAGAGAAGAATTTCAATCTATATTTCAAATTTTAAAGCTCGATAACAAGGCTGGGTGAAAACATAGAATAAAGAATTGGGATGTTTTTACTGCAATATAACCCGCCTACGAAGCTGTGACACAAGAGGAACTTATTATCTAGCGTTGACGTCAAGCCAGTTGACCTGGCAGGGAAAACTGGGATCATGACATGAGATATTTCTTTGTAATTTCTGTCATATTTAACCACAAATGTCCTTTTAATGACCATTCATTGACATATTTAATGAAGTTGGTGAATTAAAGAGTAGGGAATGTTGCAAGTATAATCTCGCGAAAGAATGAACGCCAACCAGCCCAGCGTGATGCTCCAGCTTTCAATATTTCACGGTGGCTGCATTCACAGCTAAGATCATCCCATGATCATTTTTAAAAATACAAACATACGTGAGCGTGCACACCCTCAAAGTTAAGAAGGCTTCTATTTTAACTAATTGGCAACTTATCAGCGTTCGAGATACGCCTCAAATCATGTCAAGTTCTCTGCATATAGGCAAAGAACAGGTAGATCAATGGTTGGCCAATTCAAGTTTTGCACGGCTGGGTTTCTTACACGTGAAGTCAGTAAACGCGAATAACAAAAACGCAGATTGAGGGTTGAGAGCGTATGAACGAAACGTCTCACTATCATTTTCCACGCAAGTCATAACTCCCCCGCACTCCCGCTTGCCCAATTACCCCAAACTCCAATTAAAAGGCGGTAACTATCTCTTTATCCATCAAAGGATTCAACTGAGAAGTTAAGCTTGCATAAAGCTCTGATGAATTATGAATTTGGGAATGGATGAAGATATCTGACGTGCCTCTTTTATTAAATGAAATTTAAGAAATGGCAATGGTTGCATGATATGAATTGCAGTTGATATCTTTAATTTAGCTCTTTGATTGGTAAAATAAACGTTGTCTTGAGCCTACTGATTGTTTTCATGTCATATTTTATTTCTAGTTTAAGATTTGGGATAGTGCTGGGCAAGAGCGTTTTAAGAGCTTGACTTCAAGTTACTACCGAAACTCAGACGCTGCCATCTTGGTTTATAGCATCGACAACGAAGAGTCCTTTGACAGTTTGCATCGGTGGACTAAGCAGTTGGACAAATGTGGGAAAGACGGCTTAGTAAAAATAATTGTTGGTAATAAATCGGACTTAGAAGATGAGAAGGCCGTTTCTACACAAAGCGCGGTTGAATTCGCACTGGCAGACGACGCAGCAGCAGTGATAGAATGCTCTGCGAAGGAGAACGATAACATCGAACTGCTTTTTGAAGCACTGGCGCGTAAATTGATAAGTATGACGTCAGAGCATTGTGGCAGCTATTGCGAGGATCCTAAGGGAAAAGTTATGACATATCAGGGCTCGGATCCTGCAGTAGAGAGACTGATTAACAACTTCAATCAAGAGAAGAAAGTAACAAAGAAAAAGTTGTTTAACCTTCCAGAATTATCTTCAGGCTGCTTTCGGAAGCTGTGTGGGCTTTGCTAGGGACAGTGTTGTGCTTAATTTGTAAAAGAGAGGACAATTATGAGGTAGGGGTAAAAGTTATCCGATTTTCAATGGAATTTGCATCAATGCAAAAGGCTAACTTGCAGAATATTCCTACCCTGTTGGAAAAGAACAGACTGCTAAAACTAAGAAGAACGTACGGATGACGTTAGACCATAGTGGGGTTTGAAAACAAAGTCACGTGGCAGATATTAAGTTCATATTTCTAGAATTCTATAGTAGAAGTGACGTACGAAGAAAGTTTTTTGTTGTCCCAACAATAGTATATCCAATGAACAATGAATTAGTTTTTGTAAAAGATCCTGCTAGTGTTGCTTGTACTTCAAAATTTTGTAAAATTGGGTTGTAAAGGCTGGGTTAGTTAGGGTAGTTTAGTTAATTGAAAAGAATTTATAATGTAACATTTTGATAAAAATAATGAAGAAGTAATACTTGGTAGAACTACTATACATTTACTTATAGGCAGAAAAATCCACACAGCATTTAATGAAGATAACTCCTATTTAATCTATCGCAGACGGGCTAACAGTAATCTATTTTAAAATTCAAGATATTTTAAATCGAATCAGTCAAAAATTGCTACAGTCATCTAAAAATGTAAAATTAAAGTCAATAAGAACAAATAAACAAAATCTTAATTGCCGATATATTATTTACAAATTTTGAAAATTTGAAATATATCATCCAAGATGTTTTGCGCATAAACTGCCAGTTTACATAAATTCTTCAGCTTACTGGAATTTTATTGAATTTTTAATTACATTGTTTAATAAATGAATTGCCAAAGTTTTTAGCAAAATTTATTCGTCAGTTTTAGTTTAGATGTAACAAATCGTTTTTAAGTCAATTGCTTGTAAATATGAGAAATTGTTCCTTTTGTAAATACTTTTATTTCATTATGTAAATACTTTTATTCCATTATGTAAATACTTTTATTTCATATGTATATAAATATCTCATTCTTTTGTATTTGTATTTTTATAAAGTTTATTGTCGTTATAGTTTTAGTTAAAATTATTTATGACATATTTCAAATTATTGGCAACAATTGGACAATTTCTTCCGTATGCAAATTTCTAATTTATAATGACAGAAGAAAGAAGTAAAGAAAAGCAGTCGTTTTGAATGGGGTGACTGCTGCTTAAAAGTTTCTTAAAAATCTTGAATCTTGAAACGTTGACTTGAAAATGTTGTGTCTAATAGCGAAATAATTTAGACTATTATTTGCACGTCAACGCATTCATATTATTAAACGCAAAGCAAAGGTTTCTATTTTGTTGTGGAATGCAGAAGCTAGAACTCAACTTGTTTCTTGACCAAAGTCACATGTTCTTATTGAATAACAGTTTGTTTCTTTCAATTTGATACATCAAGCTTTCTTTCAGAATATTTTCCTCATTCAATAACTAGAATTGACGGCTGTTAAAATTTCGAGTCCGACAAACATTTTCAGAATTCTTCTATATATCAGTAAAGCCTTATCTTATTTACTTGCTTAACCTCGTTTTTTGCTTTATTTTGCTCATGGTAATCGGTTACGTATTTACAAAGGCCATTATAGGTACTCGGAAAGCAGACTTTTCCGGGGGAGCAATTATGAATAGCTTTCGAGGCGTTTAAAACCATGGAAAAAGAATGTAATATGTAGCATGCAAGATTTGGATCTAGCGTAATTGAGCGGAATAATGGCACGCTAGATTGGTTCTTTTTTGTTGATCTTGTCAATAGGTAAGAAATGAAGAACGAGATATGTTTAAAAGAATGACAGGACAACTTTCTTGTGCACTCATTTATGTTCAACTTTACCTTTAAACCAAACAATAACAGCATTTTGCTCTTGCACCTGTTGACAACTAATTGCTAGGCGATTTCTACATCATAAAATTACATTTCAGATTAATTTAACAACACAAAGAATAACGATCATAGAACTAAGATGTCTGATAATAAATTTACTATTAAGTTTTTTATCTTAAAAACATCTAAAAATGAATTGCAGCTTTAACACAAGTTCATAAATAAGAATTAAAGCAATAACGGTAATTTCAAATAAAGAGTTTAATGAAGGGAATGCATTTCATAAATTAATAAGGGGAAGATCAACTATGGGTGCAAATTTCTCAAAGTTATATAGACTTATATTTTCAGAATTTTTTATTTTTGACAACAAAAGCTAAAAGAACAACACCAAATACATCAAAATATGCCAAATCAATTTAGTGAGACATGGCCAATAAAATATTTGCAATTTGCTGACCAATTACTGTTATTTTGGCTTTGTTCATAAAAATAAGAACAGAGACAAAATTTCAGTGATTTGATGGGGGAAGAGCCAATACTCATGAGGTAACCATATCAGCCAATTTGCAAACCGTTTAACTGATTTCACATATCTTGAAGAATTTCATGATGCAATGTCAAAATCTAAAAATCCTAAACATTAATGCTGGAGTTAAGATTTGCTTCACATTAAAAAAGCAATCAAAAAAAGATTTCTTGATCAGACAGCAGGTATTTACATTTGATACATCTGACATTGTACTGAGGGCCCAAGCAACAAAATTGAGGATCATTCTTAATAGTGCAAACCTACTGGTTGACAGGAAGCAAACAACAACAAAACCACACAAACCACACAACTTGCAGATCAACCTTTTCTTCACTGGTCCTTCTGACAGGCACAAATAGCTGTTTACAACCGCTTTTCTAACATGAGTAATTATACTTGTTAGTTTCTAGCAATGATGTGTGTGAGAAACAAAGAAATAAATGGCTGTTAAACAAAAGACAGGATTCTGTAACCGGTGGTCATATCAAAGTGCACCATAGATTCCATGAGGTCCATCCTCAGTCCTGTCACTCAAGTTACCCCAGTACTCTGATTGTCACGCCAGTAAAGGAGTATTTCTTTCATCACCACTAACTTCAAATGGAAGTGCGGCAATATTTGTCCCTCTTACTGTAAATTCAATGGAAATCCGATCAAATTCTCTATAAAATGAGAGAAAATATGCCAGGAATGTAAAAGCTGTTATCCATTCTGCTATGCTGCTAACTAAATGCATCTCATAACCACTTTGTTCAGGCTTCCAGCATTCCCTCTTACCAGGTTTATTAGTACCATTGTTTGACTCGTGTATTGATATATATCTGGTTGCAATGCAAAGAATGAATGCAAAAAAGCTGATGAAGGAAGCAAGGAGCCTGAATGCACAAAGTGCCTTACTGTTGATCCCACAATCAATCATTTTCATGGACAGATATGTGTTTATCCACATGTAAAGGATTCCTCCTGCAAACGTGCAGGTTGCTCCAGCCAGATGTCCCTGTAATGATGCTCCTCTGTCAGCCTACAAAAATGTAAAATGAGTGGTTAAAGAATTCATGAAAAGAACAAGAAAAACGTTCTTTCTTCTAAAATGAAGCTACACTCAGGTTTTACCAGGTATAACTGAGTTGAAGTTTCAAAAGCAAGTTTAACCAGTGAAATGTCTTTTCTTTAGCACTGAATATGTTTTTCTGTCTAAAGTACTAGGGTATGCTGGCTTCTGCACAAATTAACAGACTGTGTTGATTTAATTATAAAAAAGAACAATCCATTTAATGGCTCACCAGCTTTAAGGATTTATGGACTCTTACATATTGACATGAATTGCCTCTCTGAAATTCCATCTTCTCTAAACCTACTTTTTCTACCAAGGCTTCTCTTAGATAGTCAAAAACTGACAACAAGGGAAAAATGGGGACTAGAATTGACCAAAACACTATTGCCATTCTGATATCTAGCCTGGAATGTACTCTATGCGTTAAATACATAATAACACATGCGAATATAAAATTCAAAAAACTTCTTGAAACCCAACAATTTTTGAAAGTGAATTATATATAATTGAATCAAAACTACATTACTCATTGCAGTTGACAGTTCAAGAACATGAAAAGACTGCAGAATTAGAAATCTATAATAGAGATTACTTGTGATAAAATTCAATATTGTTTGGCTGCATGCAGGCATGTCATTGTCATGTCACTGTCATGTGAGGAGCAAAAAGCAGGTGCTTGACAAACTAAGCTCCTTCAACTTTCTGGGTGCTGAATACACCAATTTGACTCACAGCCTCGTTTTGAAAATTTCTCCTTACCTTATTAGACGACTTTTTAAAGCTCAAATTTGGTTTTATCACCATAATCTTAGGCCGGATACAATTTTTCATATTGTTTGTGCTTGTATTTTAGATTTTACGGTGAAATAAAGTTTGAAACTTGTAAGAGATTTGACAGCAAAAATCATTCGGGGGGAAACTTTACCCCTCTAGTCGCCAATCCCGGTCTTATAAATTTTATCTTTTTGTCATCATAAAATCAATATCGTGAGCAATACCACAATGAAAACTTCCAAGTATACTAAAATCATTGCTCGCAATCCGAATCTGAGGTCAAAAATTTTGTTCAAAATAATTTGAAGAATTTTTCAAAATGAGGCTGTGAGTCGAATTGGTCTATTGAGCATCATCAAATATTATCAATAATAAAATTCGGTTTTTGCATTTAGTTTTCAGACAGCATAAACATGCTAAGTGCTCGATCAATAAAGCTTCAAGAACTTCCTAGGAGGGTGTGGAGGCGCTTGTTCTGGCTCGAGTGCTTCTCCTTGCAAGGCCTGCCTGTCATGTTAACAACTACTGATACAAAATCTAATGCCTCACCTGAAATGATGCTACAATTGCACCACCAACGCAGACTATTATTCCAACAATCAGACCAAGCCTGTTGATTTTGACAATCTTTCTCTGTTCTTGTTCATTATATTCTGACACAAAATTATACTGTTTATATCTGATAATCACAATGATGAAAGCTATAAAGCTTGAAAGACTCAACAGGAGAGAAAAAACATTCCTCTCTGGTTCCTCTTCTCCAGTTTCACTTATAGTTGGAAAAACTGGGTACACATGGTTATTAGAGACTGCTAAAACATACGTTGTGATCACAGCAACAGTAGAAAGGGCACAGAATCCAATGGGAAGAAAGCCAAGGCCACAGTACATTTTTGGTCTCCTGATGGTCATTGAAAAGTACTCTAAAAAAAAGAGGTAAGCATTTAATAATTCACCATTAACTGATTCACAAATAAAGGCTATTAATTTGTACTGCTATCAAATTTTGGGTACAAATATTGCAGATTTATAAGACATAGATGTGTTTCCTATTACCCATTAAATTTTAACAGGACCTCTCTGGAAAGCACTTCGGTGATAAGAGCTTCATGCATAAACATTGTTATTATCATAATTATTATTATTAGCGAAGACACACCATGGAAAGACTGCTGCCATGTACCCAAACTTCTATTAGCCAATAAAAAAGAAAGGTAGACCAAAGATCATTGCAAAATAGTTGCAATTTTGATCCTGGTCACACTTTATTGACTAGCTCTGAGTCTTTCAAGGTTTTTTGGAGTCTACCATTTTGTTGAAAGTTTTGATTAAAACTGTTGTTGCTCCAGCTTTCTAACACATCAATTCAAAACTAAAATTTGTGCTTCTTCAGCCTACGTAATTTACAAACACTTTCATTTGAAATTGTTGCTTTCATATTAAGTCTCAACCCCCCCCCCCATTTTGCGACTTGCTCCTGGCTGCAATCATTTCAGAATTTGCATTTTTGCAAAATTTCATATTTCTCGATCTAATTGCATCAAGTACTGAAATTTGTTGATCTTTTTTAATTTCCAGGAAGAATCGTTTTCTAGCAAGTTTCTTATATACAAATGAGTGTAGCTCAAAGGTTTGAGCAGGTTCTAGCATTTTCCAAGAAGGAATCCATCCTTTTCTTTAAGATTTGGGCGTGCATGTCCACCATTATATAAACAGTCTTTCTATCTGGACAGCTTCCAGTTTTGCACCTGGAAAATTTTCGTCTTACCCTGCTATAGAACATAAAAGTAACATCGAAATGAATGACGAGTCTTACGCGAATCATCAGCTGCCTTACTAAGATAAACTTGTGACTAACTTACCTGCCGGGCTACTCATAATAATTTAACTTGAAAATTCTGCTTCGTTTTTGGAACTCTGGAAGGCCTCTAACAGCAGACATCCATTTACTTTAATCTCAACTTCATGCTGCATTGCATTCCTTCCAGCTTTATGTTGTTTTCAGTTTATCCTTCAGAGCATTCAGATCAAACAATTAACCACAGCAGCGAGGAAGGGACCTTTTCTTAGAAACTTTGGAAAGTGAAAGCCAGCTTATCACATTTGCACATCCTTCCCTGATTTCTGCAGAATTATCACGAGACCTTCCGCTGAAAACAAAGTCGAGGCTGAATAATATTTGGCGGGAAAAATTCGAATTGGCCTAGGCAAAGATGGACAAAGATGAAAATGTCGAAGAATTGGATACACCTGGCTACTTTCCATTTCCCTTCCCGCCTTATGATATTCAAGAAAATTTTATGAAGAAGCTGTACACGACTGTTGAAGCAGAGAAAGTTGGAATCTTTGAAAGCCCGACTGGCACGGTAAGATAAAAAATCTAGCTTAGATTATTTGAGAAGTAAGTAACAGTTTATCCTTCAACGCTCACGCTCTGCTTAGAAAACATTAAATGAAACCTCCTTGTAAGCCCGAGATCCTTGCGAAAATGGAAATATTTATGCAAAAAGATCTTTGAAATGTCTAAAGACATATTTATATATATTTGATAAAAGGAAGGTATATGGTCAAGTGTATGGAATGGAGATGCCAGAGATGTGATACAATCATGATGTTATCTTCTAGGGAAAGTCTCTAAGTCTGATTTGCGGTATTCTTACTTGGCTACGAGATCATGATTTCAAATTGCAAAAAGAAGCAGAGGAAATCATGGGAACAGGGAAAATGTGAGCTGCTTAGCATTGTTAAGTTTTGGTCAATCTCTTAATGTTTAGCTATTTATATTTGTTACATGTTTGTGGTACATACAACACACGAAATATATTGCAAAACTCAAGTTTTTGCCAATAAAAGGAAAAGGAATATTCACAAATATTAACAATGAATATAGAATATGGTATGCTGCATCATTTGGTTTAAAAGTGTATTAATTTGATGTCAACATGCTAATAGGGAGCAAGATATGTGATATGCCTTTTTCTTTATGATGAATCATACCTATTACTTTGCCTCATTTCTTTTCAGAACTGAGACAGTTGACAAGTCTAAAGCACCAAATAATGGTATGAATATCTCTTTAAAGTTTCATATGTTGTTTTCTTCTAATTTTGAAATGTTTTTACAAATAGATAAATATCTTACCTTTCTTTTGAAAACTAGTGATTAGCACATTTGTTTCTATTGTACTAATTTTTGCCTGTGAAATGAAGCAAAGTTTGGCCTTTATTGAATTTAGCAACATATTGAATTCATTGGAATTACAATGCTTATTTGTTCCTCATCTTGTTATCATCACTGCTATGAACCTTTAGTAAATGACTATCCTTTCTTTGAAACTTTTAGAGCCAAGCTGGGTTAATGAATATGAAGAAAAGCAGGCAAAGAGGCAGCTTGCTGAGAAAATTGATGTATGTTACTTTTTTTTAATTTTTTTATATTCTCATAAAATTTACAACGACAATCAATTACAATACAAAAGCCTAGGGAGCATGGAAATGCATAACAACCCTAGCTGTATGTTACTTTGTTGAGAAATGAGTATTTTTTGCTATAGGTATGTAATCCTAAAAGATATCTTACCCAAATGAACTTAAAGCAGAATCAATCCCAACATCAGACTACATAATAACAGTTCTTTTCTTATAAAAATATGCGCAAAGCAGTCCCAGCCAAATCCAAGCTAAGCAGTTTTGTTTGCCACTTGCACTTGTTATCGCACCAAAAGCCCTGAAAGTGCTTTCAAATTAATTTCATTTGGTAACAAGATCTATGTGTGTGTTTTTCTATTTTAGAGACAGAAGGCAAAATTAGAGAAAAACCAAGCTAAGCTAGAGAAGCTGAAAAAAGAAAGGGAAGTAGCAGCAGCTGCAAGAAATAAGCGTAAAGTATGTTAATTTTTATCATTAAAAGATACATAGAAACATTGAAGCATCTTAATCTGCCTAGGACTCTTGTTTTTGTCCTTTGATATTTTTCTTTAATTAGACTTGAGAGCGTAAGGGAGAAGGGCTTTTTTCAAACTCTTGATTTGAATTGGGGGTCTAATATAGAGAGGGTAGATTATTTTAAATTTTCATTTAAAATGAAGAGGAAAAAGATTATTTATTTTTAGTTTGAAAAGGAAAGCTTAGTAGAGTGGAAGCTTATTGCAATTTTAGTATTTGAAAAGGGAACTTACTAGCATGTGGGGTTATTTGAAATTACCCCAAATGCTGTTATAGAAAGCTTAAAAGGGAAGGGAATTTGTTTTACTTTTTCATTTGAAAATTGGGTTTAAAGAAGAGAGAAGAACATGCCTGACAGAAAGAGGCAACTGGAGCTTTTATTGTGTTAGTCTTGTACATAATTTTAAGGAAAATCAGGCTATCAATTTTCTTTTTCATAGTCCAAAATCTTTGAAGTTTGTGAAAGATTCATAAGATTTGTCCACCGCGACTATCAATACTAGTTTTATCACTGCATATTTTTCCTTTTTATACCTGCACAAAACCATTTTTTACAATTAAATTAAAAGCCTAGAGTAAATTCCAGCCTTTACTTATTTCAAGCATAAGTTTTTTCCGCTTGATTTCTTCCATCCTTATAACGGAATTTATTACTTTGTCAGGCCCCCTCGACCTCGAGGCCCTAGGGAGATTGGCTCCCTGCCCCCTAATAGTCTAAAGTACAATGAATGGTAGTTTTTATCACTGCATACTTTCCTGCTTATCTGTGCACAAAACCATTTTATCACTGCAAATATTGGTTCTCATTCGGATCAAAAGAAGTTGATAATAACACAAGTTATTGGTAAACTACAATAGCGCACTAAATTAGGGTAGAATTAGGTCTCAGGTTAACGGAATTCAAAAAACTTTGATCAGATGTCATGAACATCGGGCTTCTCCATGGCTAGATTTTTGTAACAATAAAAATAAATTTCAAAATTAAATGAATTAATATTGAATTAGGGACAGAGTAAAAATGTTTTTTTATGCTACTATCTTTGCTGGATCGCGTTCTTTTAGCTGCTTGAAAAAATAGAAAGCAAACAAGTTCAAAAAAAGGAAAAGAGAAAATGAAATACTGGAATCCAGTTTCGTATTATCAAGAGACTTTATTTAACTCATAAGAGGCCTAAAAATGATGGAGAAATTGTCTTGGGATGAAAACGAAGCGTGATCTTTGACAGTGGAAGAAACTTCTTTTCTGATAATGAGTCATCTCTTTTGCGTGCAAAAACTTTTAAAATTAGCATTCATGTATGTTCATTATCTAGATTTTTGTTTATAAAGAAGGCCTGTTAATCACGAGCAATTTTCAATATACTAAAATGTTGTTTTTCTTCTAATTTCATGCCTGTATGCTTCTCTATGTCTTTCAGATCTTTATGATATATCATCTTACAGTTGATTTATATACATAAAAACATACATAAAAAGTGATATTTTCCCCTTTTCAAAGTACTAAATTCACTTACGTTTCCCCTTTCCACGAATTAAGCGTGAAGACAGCGTAGCAGAGGACGCTAAAGAAGGAAAATCAAACAACAAGGAAGTTGTTGAAGATGAAACGGAAGATGATGACGATGAACTTGTCCTTAGCGATTACAATAGTGATGGGGACGAAAAAGACCCGGATAAGTCCAGGTAAACCGTCCTCAAGGGATTTTCTATTGGAAAAAAATGAACAAAAAACATGTCTCAGAAAGTTGATAAAAAATGAAAGGGATGCATCTTTCTCAAAGGAGCATGAAATTAAAGAATATTGTAATACTTTAGGATATTTTTATCTCGAGAGCCAATCATTAGTTGCCTTTGCTGTGTAAGAAAGTCTTCTTCAATAGAGGCCTGAAAATTCGAGATCTCCTCCAACATTTGTTTTTACTAATATGAAATGGGGTTATGGATGAAAGAATTCAAACAAAAATAATCAAAGGTAGAAACTGTACTATCATTGTGACAAGCAACAACAAGGGTCACTTTGGTTTTTTGCTGCAAACCAAGACTTTCCAAGCTTAAAACAAACCACTTAATGCAGCTTATTTGTTATTCTCGCATAATTTCATTGGGAATTCCAAGGGTCCAACTCCGAATTCTGGCTAATTGCACTTTCCAAATACCACATGCACTTGGCGTTGCCTTTTTCTGTTAACTATACAGGCTTTTTGTTGTTTTGCAGTTCTGAAAATGAAACTGACAGTGAATCAGAAGAAGACTGCGCTTCCGTGAAGGTTTTCTTATTTGCTCGCCTTTCATATAAATCAACATATTTTACGCCAGGCTGCAAATTTCATTATTCTTTCTCGGAATGCGCCTCAAAGCTATCTTCTTATTGCCAAGATGTTAATTCTCTGTTTTTGTTTTATCTCTTTTCTTTTACATCTTTGTGATCATTCGTAAATATTTTCCTTGTCTACATCAAGGTCACTCAATTCTTTCCAAGGAGTGTCTTTAACCCTCGGGGGGGGGGGGCCTTTTTTATTTAGGGGTGCCTTTTTCTGAAAAGTGCGGAATTATCGGTATCACTTTTTGAAATATGTGCGGAACTATGGGTACCATTTGATAAAACAAAGAATTATGGGCACTATTTTGGGAAAATATTGCAAAATTATTAGGTGGGATATTTAGCATTAACAAAATGAACGGCCAGTTAGAAAAAAAAACTATGAAATATGTGTAATATTGAGATTTGGGGCAAAGCTCATGCAAAATTCGTTTAATGATTTTTATGTGCTTTAAAATGTTATTTGCTTTGCGGAATTATGGGCATAGTTTTTATCATGTTTGCGAAATTATGGGTCACATTTTTTCAGACATTTGAGGATTTATGGGTCCAAATTTTTAACCAAAATGGCACGTCCCCGTCAAAAATTAGTAACCAAAATGGCACCCTCCGAGCTTTAACCTCTTCCTTGCCAATTTCTGCGTACTCTTTTTAGCTGATCAAGATTTTTATCCTACCAAAGTTGTTTAGGCCTGTTAAAATCATCATTACTTTTCATAATAAATATAGTTTTTCTCTGGTTTTGTTGACAGATTTTTTACTGTAGCCGAACACATTCCCAACTGGCGCAATTCGTTAATGAAGTGAAAAAGAGCCCATTTGGAAAGGAAGTGAAGGTCGTTTCGTTGGGATCTAGACAGGTCGGACCTTGATTCATAAATAATCCAGTTTTGTGTTCTGTAAACGTAAATTTATGTAATATTTATATTTTTAAGTCCAAGGGGATAACTGAGCTCCTCCTGATTATCATTAATGCAAAGGAAATTTTTCCCTCTTGCGTAGTTGCTCCTATTCTCGATTATTTTTTGAGTATTGTAGATATTTTTTCTCGAAGTGGTTATTTCACTGGAGTTCTAGATATTTCGTCACAAAATGATACTCATTTCAGTAATAAAGCCGACAGGTTCTTTTAACAAAGCAATCTTATTCCAGTTCGAAATTCTACTAAACGGACTTTGAAAAGATTGGCATTGTGGCAAAAGATAGCTTTTATTGCATCGCTTCTCAAAATCATTCTCCAATTCTTTCCTGTTTTTATTATGTAGAATCTTTGCATCAACGAACAAGTACAGAACTTGCGAAGTAACCACAGAATAAACGAAAGGTGTTTGGAGTTACAGCGACTGAAAAATGGTATCAAGAATGTTTTTTGAATCATTAGTAATTACAAATGCTCTTTTTCGCAATACCGTAAATCCTCAAACCTAATCAGCCCCCAACCTAGAACTACAAATTGTCAATAAGCCCCCCTCGAATAAGCCCCCACTGCTACCGTAAATTCTCAAATTGGACCCCTCTATTTGATGATTTTTGCCATCTGAGATTGCCTATGGCGTTTTATTGAATTGCCACAACAAATTCATACTTTTGGTAGTAATTAATTGAATGCACATAGAGAAATTCCTACTAAAATAAACGAGGTCTTTCAATAATGTCTTCCTAATGTTTACAATAATTTTATAAGGCCCTCCCCCTCGAATAAGCCCCCATCCAAAAATGTCAAAAAAAAGCCCCCAGGGGGCTAATTCGAGGATTTACGGTAATCTGAACTTATCCTCAAGAGACTTATTTTATGCACGTTGTTGGCATGTCAGGTAGTATCATCCACATAAATTTTTACTCTTATTAATATTTTGTTAATTTCATAACCTAATGTTTTAATTTCAAATCGGTCAATCATAGAGGCTTAAATTTCGTCCTGTTAATATCAATAAAATACAATCATTGTCAATGGAAAAATGGAGACCAATATATTGTTCGAAAGCCATGTGTAAACGGAGTACTTAGATAAACAAATTTTTGAAAAGCGAGTTCTAAAATTGCGGAATTATGATTTCTTCCTAGCCGAACAGAAAAGCTTCCTGATTTAATGTTTGGTGCAGTATTTGATGTTTTTTGCAGTATCCGACGCTTCTCTATGTATAAATGTCGTTTTATAAGCTGTAAATCGTTATGGAGAGGGGGGGATGGTGCTAGAGGCTCAGGGGAGCAAATTTCTGCTTTTGCTATTGTTTTGGCAACATTTTGCACAAAGGTCCTTCTTGTTACTTTGACCGAACTCCTTGTTACCTTGAATGTAATGAAGCAATGAAGAACACCTTACATCCCGTTATTGTAATGAAGTAATGAAGAAGTAATAAATATTAAAGAAGAAGTATAGGAATTAAAGAATTTATCAACATTAAAATATAATGCACTCATTCAAAAGGTTACGAAACAGCGAATTCATATTTTCCCCCTTTTCATTATATTTTAACCAGCAATTATTATAAAAAGGATGCTAAAATTATTTAAACAGAACAAGATCAAAACATTTATTAAAAACAAGATGTTTCTACAATTTTGTGAAGATAAATGAAACGAAACAAATCTGAAGGTGAAAAACATTCTAATTTTTTGTTATTTTATCTTTCCAAAATTTACTTAAAGTTTAGTAAAGACATCTTTTAAAAGTAATTTCATTGCAAATCCTTCAAGATTAAAAAATTTAACAATTTTTCAATATAAACGTTTGCAAAATTTTCTTCTTTCTTAGATAAAAAGGCCAACAAGGAAAGAAAAAAACGTAGGAAGCTCATTGGAAACGGATGTAAATATTACCAAAAAAAGAAAATGAAAGACTTTGTTGATAACGTTTTTGTGAGTCCTGTGGTCTGAATACTTTTAAAATATTGCATTTTTCTAAACCAGTTCATTGTTAAATAACTTTAAACACTGACGAGCTAGCTTGAAATTTGCCACCAATCTGGAATGGTTTAACTGTCAGCTTAATTCATTTTAGCAGTCTATGATTTTAGAATACAGACATCCCTGGCTGACGGTGTTGAGATTTGCCGCCCCCTTCCCCATTTAAATGTTTATACCCCTCCAATTAAAATACATATGCTCCAACTTTGTGTGGGGGAGAGGGTTGTTGAAGAATGCATGCATGCTACCTGGAATATGTTTTGGGGTATTTTTCAAAAGCTCTGTCTATGGTTTTAGCACTGTAGAACATGTTTGTATATCTTAAAGGTGTTTAATCCCGTTTTTAAGTTGTTGATAAGATGTTGTGATAAGTGCGAATAGTCTTGAAAAACAAACTTCAGTTTTAAATCCCTAATTCAGCTATTCTCTCTCCTTTGAAACAGTTTTTGTTTTCCTTAGGTTTAAATAGACGTAGGAAGTATATTTTTTCTGTAGCTTGATGATATTGCCTAAACTAGCAAAATTTTGTTTGGGGGGGGGGGGGGATCTAGCTGAAGAAGTAATATTTGGTAAAGAATTTGATAATATCAGAACAAGACTTGAACAGATGGATGTTCCAATAATTTTGACAGACGTATGCTAACTAAGCTATTTTTTCAATAAACAAAACACACGGTATTGCTAAACTGGCATTGTCAATTTTCAGGTCGACGTGCATGATATCGAACAACTCGTTCAGCTGGGCCAAGACCTTGCCACCTGTCCCTACTATGGAACAAGACACTCAGTTCCACAAGCTCAGGTAATGGCATCAACACTTTTGCTATAAAAAGTATTTAATTGAATTGATACATTATACATTTGCTCTGATATTACTTAAATGCGCAATTTTTTGGGTAATATTCAGTGAATAGAAGCGAATTAGCCCATTCTATGCAGCTAGGGGTATCACAAGTGTAGATTCAATCGATCAGCATCGTTTGTAATACTTTTCAAGTATGTAGCAATCATGCATCGTTTTGCTCTTTCTCTGCAGCTTGTCGTTCTCCCCTACAACACATTGCTGCACAAAGCAACGCGAGATGCAATCGGAATCAAGCTGAAAAACAGCGTTGTAATTGTGGACGAAGCTCATAATCTGATTGACACTATAAACAGCTTGCACAGCATCGAAGTATCGGGTTTACATGTGAGTAAAAAAATGCCTGCTATATATCTGATCCATGGGCTCCGGTGAGGGGGAGGGGGGAAGGGTGGTGGGGTGCAAGGGAAAATTTAAGAAGCATAACACAAGATTTTGAAAAATCTCTTTTGTTTTTGCAAAAAAATGTGGTTGCATGCTCCCTGGCCTTTTTGGGAGAATTTGCTTCCTCCTTGTTTTGCTGTAAAAATTTATTAACGATGGAGGATGGAATAACGGCATTTGTAATGCATCTGTTTGACCTCTATAAAATTACTCGTAGATATCGACGTCACGCGATCAACTTAGCCAGTATCTCACTCGCTATAGGTATGCAGTTGGTTTTTTTTCAAATCTTCCTTTCATTTATCAGCTACTTACAAATACCAATAATTAAAGTGCAGGATAGTTCTGATTTTTTCCAATTGAAGCGTTAATTTTTTCTCTTAGGCCGACTTTTGACAATTCATTATTCAAATTTTTTAAACTTCAGCAAATTAAGCTTTCTCTTGAATAATCATACAACCCGGAATTGACTATATAACCGGACATTGACCTTCAAACCGGACATTGACTGATAACTAGATATTGACTATGTAACCGGAGATTGACTTTATATCCGGACATGACTATATAACCGGATTTGACTATATCACCGGATATTGACTATATAACCGGATATCGACCATATAACCGGACATTGACTATATAACCGGACGTTGTGTTTTGATTATTCTAACCAATCGTCTTAATTTGTCATTTGAGACTCAATCTGGAATTAATAAAACTTAAATCTCTCCTTTAATGTTTAGATGAACAAATTTTCAAATTCTAATATTAATACTATATTGTATATTTTTTGCTAAAACAAACCCAACTAACTGATGTCATTTCTAATTAATTCAAAAATACCGGGAAGAAAGATGAACCTTAAATTTTTATGTTGCTTTCCCCTGGCCTACCTATGTCTCTAACCTGGTCCTCGATAAATATTTTTACAGATATTTTTCTGAAATTTTAAAACCTTTTTTATCATATATTCGTTTTTGTGGATCTTTATTTAATCTTGATTAACAAATTCTTTAGATCGCGACTAAAGTCGAGAAATTTGCTGCACATAAACCAATTGCTTTTGATTATGGATCTTTTAATGAAATTCCTCGGAGGTTTGTCTAAGAAATACTATATTCAATGCTTACCGAAAGAAACCAGAAATTATATCTAGGCCTAGACTTGCTCTGTTAGCCTTTGTTGCGCTATTGCCTCACTTTGAGGACGCTACAACAAACTACTTTGATATTGTCACAGGAAAATACAGCAAAAGATAAATACTTACTGTTGACAGTTGGAACGCTACACTGTTACAACCACACCAGGGAAATTGCAATTGGCAGCGAAAAAGAAGTAAAAACATTTTACCAACAAGCACCTTTACATGCGAATGAAAGAGTTGTACAACTGTGCAAGGCGGGGGGAGAGGGGGGGGGGGGGGATTTGAGAAGTTTGGAAACGAAAATAAGAACGGGACAAAATTCAAGTTGCCAGTTTTTGAGTGCCTTGTAGTGTCCGTAATGTGAGGCTGTAGCGAAAGAGAGGCTCATGGAGTAAGTCCACATTGAGTAAGTCTAATCCCGCACAATCCCGCGCATTATAAGTTTAAAAAATACACAATATTCATCATTCGATTATTATAAATTCTGTTGATAAAGTTACCTATCTTTAACATTTCAGCGACATCTACCGATGCGTATTTGCTGTTTAATGTAGTACTATTCTGGGCAAATTGATAAATTCTATCAAAGACATCTGAATTTGTTTGTTTTCTCCTCCCTAACTTTGCCGTGCGGTCATAGAGCTTTGTAGCAGCAAAACGTACCTTTCATATTTCAGTTGCTGCAGGGTCAAAGTCACATTACCCAGAAAACGGAAAGAAGGGTGAACAAAAGGGTAATTATTCATCTTTGGACAAGATAACCAAGGCTATTTAGCTCCCAATACTTGTATAAGATTTAGAATCTTCTAAATTTTGTCACTGAATAGAACGAAGTCCAGATGTATATATTTTTCACTCTCTCTTTTACTTTACCTTCCTTTTCTTTAATACATCGCCCTAATTTTTAGCAACATTTTCATCTAGTCATTAATTTCCCGTCCCCTCAAACTAAGACCAGATTCAATTTTACGTTGCATCCTTTCACTAAACATACCGAATATCTACATAAAGTCGCAAAATTCTGCCTCCAATATACCCCTGTTCTATTCTATTTTTGTTATGTAGCTAACAAACCTTAACTTTGTTAGACACCATCTTGTCTTTGTTGGAGCTTGTCCATTGTTTCAATAGTATTTTTGACCATTTTTTTGTTCCTTTGCAGAAGCAAGTTTATATACAATCAACGATTTTGTGTTTTCAACGAATATTGATAACCTGAATCTGTTTAAGGTGAGAGATAATTTGATACAAATTTTTTCACATAGCAAGATAGATTTAGGTATGAAATTACTGCAAAGAGATGTTTTATTTTCAAAGAAAAATCACTTCATTAGCAATTGAAATAAAAATTCCTGGTTTTTTTGTCATCCAAGACGCATATTTGACCATTGTTTATAAATATTGATTCCTTTACTTGCAGATACGAAGATACTGTGAAAAAAGTTTGATATCAAAAAAGGTATTTTATGTTAAAGAAATTATAAAATTATCAGAATAATTGAATTCCAAGACCTAAATTGAGAAATGATTGACAATCTACTCAATACTGAACAATAATTTCTTTCCGTTTGACCCGTACAACACTATTAAACATTGTGTTTTGAAGTTTGATAGAAATTGTTCCCAGAATTGGAATTATGTCAACAGAAAATTATTGGCCTTGTTTTGACCGATGAAAATATTCTAAGATCTCGCGTGAAAGCAGAGTCGAAGTGAGAAAATGAACCTGTTTGTCTACATGTAACAATTAGTGTACATATTAGGGTTTGTAAAAGGCCATTACCTCCAACTTTTCTCAGTTTCTTCAAAAATGTCTATCCTCGGGCCCTGTTTTTTTAGAAAACTTCTCACAAAATTTTTTTAATGTTGCATGTCAGTAATGGTCATTCTGTTTTTGGGGCGTTTAAAACCCCATGAAACTTTCAAGCCTCTGGGCCCAAACCATTAGCATATCTTTAGGCCAATGCTTTTCTGTTTGTTTTTTAAAGAAGGTTAAAAGCTGTGAACGAAGGGGCATTTTTGAGGATGAATTTTTGCAATGACTCCAATATGTGTATTTGATAAGATATTCATGGTTTTATGAGGTTATTTGGTTCCGTTTTTGTAGCTGAACGGATTTGTGGACAAATACTCCACCTCAGTAGGTAAGTAAATACGAAATTGTTCAAAATAACTCAACTTACTTGTCTGACATTGATTTCTGGTAAAGTGCCCCGTCGAATTGGTGGCATTTCAACACGATGAATTTATTTTTGTTATGATCTTGAAATAAGCAGTTATTGGAATGCGAAAACTGTGAGGTGAATTTCAATGGTTGAACCAAATTGTGAAGTAACAAAGCGTACTAAAGCACTTTTCGTCCGAAATTCTTCAGAGTATAAATGTCGGATACTGTAACATTGTCTCTGAAAGGTGGATGGGGAATGTGCCCACTGTGCCCCCGGTCCCTGTGACTATTTATAAAATATTCTTCTCGATGGTATGATAGCAAGAGACCTATTTATGTCATTTCAGGCTGTATGGAAAATGAACTCGAGGCAACACGAACATCTCAGTTTTATCATATCGAGGCTTTCTTAGATGCCTTGACCAACGCGAATAAAGATGGTCGAATTCTCGTCGTTAGAAATGGTGAAGATCAATTTTATTATAAATTAGCTAATAAACCTTCCTGCCCCGGTATTCATTATTTATTTCTGATTTTTCATTTCTCATTTTAGAATTTAGCATTTCTCCCAACCTTCAAATTTTTAGCGATGTTTTCTTTTATTTTGCCATTTGTTAGACATCGACCAAGCTTCATAGTGTTGTCATCTAGGACTGAAATTCATTGTTTTCTCGACATTATGGGACAAACAGCAAAGATTTATCGATGTTATTTAAGCTTATGGTAAAATCTTGGCACATGGTATTATGATAAAAATGGTTTGGGGCTAGAATATGCTTTCATTCGTCGTGCTTTCATATCTTTTTTCGCCCTATGTTCTGTATACTTTTTATCTGAAACGATTAATTTGAAAGTTTCTGTCTATTCATTATAATATCTTACACCTGTTATTGATTTGAATGTTCCCCTGCGGTTCCTATAATATTCCCCAGGGCCTTGCGGCTAAAGCATTGCCCAACTTACTTTTCTTCTGGGACTTGTCAAAATTGTTTGACTAAAATCTCCCATGATTAGAAATATCTTGATATAATATCTTTGAATTATCCCTGCTAATAAAATGGGGTTTGCAAAAGCAGTTACCCACAACTTGTAAGTAATACTGCTGCACTCTACTAAGTAATACAGCCCCCTGTAATTATCATAATGTTATCAATTTTTCAGAGCTGTTAAGTCAGAGCAAGCTGAAATTTTTGCTTCTCAATCCGGCCGTTCATTTTGCGGACATTACCAAAGAAGCAAGGGCTGTTATAATTGCTGGAGGAACAATGCAACCGGCAAGTTTCAATCTACATTCATTTCCAATTTTGATATGCTTCTTCCGGGGGGTGGAAAGGGGGGTTAACTTTCACATACACTGGTATGGGATGTGCCATTTTTGGGGGTACCTTTTTCCAAATAGAAAATGAATTTCAGGGTAGCGATTTTGGTATAATAAATCATGGTCATGAATTTCGGGATTGATTTTAGAATGACCTTAAATTTTGGGGTAACGTTTTTTAAAGAAAGGTAATATTTCGTTATTTACTTTTTGCAAATTTGATTTAAATTTAAGGGTATGCATTTCTTTTTGTATCCAAATTTTGGGGTAGGGTTTTGGGAAAATTGATAAATGTTAGGGTATATTTTTCATATTTTAAAATGGCAAATCCCCGTTCTCTGCTTAATGAATAACCCCCCCCCCCCGGCCTTTAGTCACCGATTTGAAATTTCATACTGTTTTGAGCAAATAAGATGATGCTCTTAGCTTTCTATGGAAAGAGTTTTACTTAACACCTAAAAATAAAGATAATAGGCAAGAAATAGTTCATTAAGAGCAAGGTGCGAGAATTTAGAACTTGTTTTTAGGTATTTTGAAACTGACGCACCGCAAACATATAGGCTTTTATTCGAAAGATTTTAGTACGATCTTGTAATGTAACATTTGCATCAAGAACAGGCACGGATATATAACATCCCGTTAAAAGGGCCTTCATGTTTCCCAAATAGGTAATATTGTTTCAGATCTGATCTTTTTCAAAATCTTTACCTTTAGTTTCTTCTACAATTTATATTTGTTTAAAATATTTTTAGGTATCAGAGTTCAAGGAAGTTCTGCTGCATTCAGCTGGTGTGCCTTTAGAAAGGATAACTGAGTTCTCTTGTGGTAATTTACTTTTTTCTTTTACTGGTCTCGGTTAGCTTCAGGATTACTAAGTCATTCAAACCACATATGTGACATTGTAAATCTGAAACATGTAGTCTTGTGATGCTAATATTTTATTTGTTTCTATGGATAGAACCATATTTGTTAACTGTATCTAAGTTTTGATTAAAACAGTCCAATGAAGGATAACTTAAGCATCCTCAGTGCAAAACTAAAGCAGTTTGTACTCGTGAGTGGCAGCCTGAAATATTTGATGATCAAGCTGGATTAGTTTGAAGCAAAGTCTGGATCGAAATGGTCCAATTAACAAATAAGCCTTCTTTACATCTTTTTCTAGCCAATTAATACTCTCAAATGTCTTTTGTTTAATAAATCTTGAGTCAATCGAAGCATTTCCAAATACCTAAGGTATATCATTCTGACCCTTGGTTCGTCTTTTAGGCCATGTCATTCCTCCTGAAAATCTTGTTGCCATAGCGTTGAGCAAAGGACCTTCTTCACTGGATCTCGATTTCACGTATCAAAGTCGAGACCAGAACAATATGGTGAGGAATTTCAGACATCTCATTTAACTTGCTTTCTTTTAAGAATATAGTGTCAAATTCATGAGAGAAACGATAAAATACCACTATTGAATTCGTGAAAAGAGTTTATGGGGGATTTTATAACTTTTAGTGGAATGCAAAGTTTTAAACAGCTCTAAAAAATCCAGTTTGAATTTCTATCTTCCCCATTAACTTGATTTACATCTTACTTATTTTCCCTCATAAAATGACTCAAGAAATGTTTCTAACATACTTTCATATTTCTTATTGCTTCTAATACAATATACTTGAAAGAATAAATCGAATACACTTTCACTTCAAGTCTAATTTATCTTAATTTCTTTTTTTCTTTATCGTTTTTAAAATTAAAGATCGAAGAACTTGGACGTTTGTTAGTAAACATATGTGCTGTAGTTCCTGCTGGCATTGTCTGCTTCTTCCCGTCATACGACTATGAGGAAAGAGTGCACGCTAAATGGCTTGAAAAGGGGATCTTGCAGCGGATAGAGTCTCGTAAAAAGGTAACCTTTCCCCTTGTTAAAATTGTTTTCAAGTTATAATTTGCTAAATCTGTTTTCTTTTATCACTGAATCTAACGTATTGGGAAAGATAATTGTTGTTCTTTGTTTTTCCAAAAAAATGACAAAAGGTACCCTCTGTCTCAATGTTTTAGCCAGAATTTAGGCTGCGAAGCCTATTTTCTCCTGTCTGCATCCAAAACAGCTTTAAAAGTATTAATTTGCGATGTTTGATATTTTTTACAGGTTTTTAGAGAGCCAAGGAAATCGGGAAGAGTTGATCAAGTGCTAGGAAACTATGCTGAATTCATAAAAGTACACTTTCATGATTTTGTTTTCTCTCACTCAAGATTTCTTAGTACACTTAAAACAATCAAATGGAAACTTCTTTGCAGCTATGATATATGAAAATTCTGTCTCTAAAGCAGGATTGAGCAGTGAATTTAGATCCAAGACAAGGATGCATTGTGTTGTTTTATGTATAAAATGGACTGTTGTATTAAAAGTATTGTTGTTTTTTTGACAACTGCAGAAAGTATCTTGAAAATTAATACACACTATTTGTTATAGCAGGTTCTGGACTCAAAAGTCATTTTATTCATCTTATTATTTTCAGAGAACAAAGCATGTTCGTTCACCAACTGGAAAGCCACAACAAAATGGAGCGTTACTATTGAGTGTTGTCGGGGGAAAAATGAGTGAGGGCATCAACTTTTCTGATGATCTAGGACGGTAAGAAGTGATTTAGTGAAAGAGCTAGTTGATCATTTGTGCCATTATGCATAGTGATATTTAGGAATTATGCTTGGAAGGCTTTTCTTCTGCGCCACAAAAGACCTCCGCTCCCTGTGAAGTGGTTGTCGAGTAACAGAAAACTGCTGGTTTGATCCTCAAATGCAATGAGCAGGACAGAAGGTTGCAAAATTTTGAGACAAATATAATGCAAAAATATGGATAAAATATCAACATAAGGCGATGTAAATGCAAGTGATCCGAGGATGTTATGATAAAAGCAGTAACGATGAAGTGTTAATCCTGTATAAAGATTCGTGTTATTATATTATTATTATAAGCAACAGTGGTAAACACTCAGACCTTGAAGTTGTTGGCATTGTCTAGAAGGATGTTTTACAATATCAAATCTCAGGCACGAGAACAATTATTAAATAGGGATGAGGGAATACATGATGTAAATCAGATTGCTTTTAAAGAGGAGAGCTCTTATACTGAAAGTATTTTGGAAATGTCAGCGTACAGGCGTCTTGTATGAGCAAGAGTGCTTTTTGTAATGGCCTAAAACTCAATTATTTTGATTTCAAAATTTTGCAATAAACGAATGGATTAAAAAAATGATATTTAAGAATATGTTTTACAACAGAACATAAAGAGAATAAAAAATTGCGTTGCTTCATTAATAAAAGGAACATAGGTAAGATAATAGGATATGGTTTTCTATCTATGATTTTAGAATAAATGAAGGTTAATAACGTTTTCCTTATGAATAAATCTAGTTTAAATATTATTAGCGTTTTCTCAGAAAATTGCATGTTTGACCAACACATAATTTGATGAATATGGACCTAAAGTTGTCTTACACAATCGTGCTGGATATTTTTGCAGGTGCATTCTCATGGTTGGTCTTCCTTACCCAAACAGGACATCACCCGAGCTGAACGAGAAAATGGCTTATCTTGATAAATGTGTTGGGGTAAGTCTCTAATCACCGTTAAATCAGTTTTGTCCAAATGAATGAATTAATTAATAGTTGAACGAATTGATGAATGAATTTATCAATTAATTGATTCAATAAACTATTGGGGAAGGAGCAATTTAATGAAGATATGAACCGATTAATTTATTAATAAGTTGATTAAATGATAAAATTATAGTCATGAAGTATCAATGGATGAATTAATGAATAAGGGATATTGGTTGGTTTTTGTTTCATGGTACTGAAAATTTTTTTAAAAACTTTCTCATTACAAGGAATTTTGTTTCAAACATCGAAATAAATATTTTAGCTTTATCCAAATTTTCAGAGGTTAACTTTCACTTATTTGTCAGTCAAACGAACCAAACAAGGACCCAATCAAAGACGCCATTTTTCGTCTCGCGTCATTTTCGATCCGTACGTGGATATAAATGCTTTCCCCCCCTGTCGACATTATCCGAAGTTTATACACTGAAGAGTGTCGGACGAAAAAGGCTTTAGTATAATATGTGCCTGCTATTCCGTGCTTGTTACAAATTGTGCGGTACGAAAGGCTTGTTTTCATTCCTAGTCGAGGTTGAATACTTTCAAGATATCCGCAAGTATTATCTGACATATGAAAATCTCACACTATTCTGTGTTTTTTATGTTGATTCACTGACAAGTCACTTTTCTTTCAGCCCAAGGCTGGCCAAGAACACTACGAAAATATATGCATGAAAGCAGTTAACCAGTCAATCGGTATCTTTTATGTCACGTGATCGTGTGTGCATTCCATTGCTATATCTGCCATGCCTTAAGTAGGGCCGCCGAGAGGTTTCGGAGGCCCCTTGGGAAAAGCCAAACGACGAAGCCCCGTGCGAGCATAAAATTTTTGTGCAAAGCACTTTAGATTAGCTTAAAAGACATTTCAGAATATTTTTTGCAAACATTTTTTTGCAATCGTATAAAGCACTTTGCTATTTTTGCTATGCTTTGCTATGTATTTTAAAATAGAATTCATTACTTCATGAGACTCTCTAGATCTAGCGAGCCTCATTAATTTATTACTCTCGGCGGGCTTGGCTTAAAGTGTAAAATATTGCTACAATCACTTAAAAAGGTCTTTGAACACTAACTTCAGTTTTCAAAATTTAGAATTTTTTTACACATAGCTTGTGTGATATTTACCTACACTGTTAGGGGAGCGAAAGAAGTAGTGTCAGGGTTGAGAGATGACCTAAAATAGTCTTATCTAAGATAGAAATCTTTTTTGAAGACAGTTTAGTCCATATCTTTAAACCCACAAGAGCTCAAAAATTTGATTAACTCATAACGTTTTTGCATTTTCTTTGGTTTTAACTCAATTCTTTTCGAACCTACCTGTCAGATATCTTGTACTTTATCTAGTTATAGTTCAATTTGTAGCACCGTAGCAACTTTCGCAGCCAAATAATTCAACGTTAAAAATATCATGTAGAATTTCAGATTTCATTCATAAAAATTTGTTTGTTTCATTTTTTTAATTGCTAATTGCCTTTGCTTGTTTTCCATTTAGGCCGGGCAATTCGTCACAGAAGCGATTTTGCGTGTATAGTTTTACTGGATCAAAGATACTCAAGGAGTCACGTGCAGGCGAAGCTACCATCTTGGATACGCTCTCGCTTACAAACACATCCTCGTTTTGGGCCAGCCTTTGCTGCTGTTAATAAGGTGGGTTAATCTCATGTTCAACATCCAAATTTTGATCGTAATTTACGACTTACAGATCTCAGCAACTTGTATACAAACTAGCTTTAAGGACGAAGTTTTGTTTAGAGAATTATCAGGCTACAAATCTATCTGCTAACTGACAGGACACCCCGCGGTTTGCGCGCACATTACCCGCTATTTATTGCAGCGTTCTCTAATTTTCTATTTTTACATTTCAGTTCTTCGTCGACAAGAGAGAAAATCCTTAGTTTGCAGAGAACTTTTGCGTTGAAATTTTAAATCGAATTTCTGTTTGCCATGTTGATTTAGTTGCTATGCCAGAAGTTATTCGCATATAAGAATTTTGGTATCGAGTTAATTATTCAAAATTCATGATTAAGTGGTCAATAAATCTCAGTGGCGTGTTGTTTGCTTATGTTTCCTTGAATCTTTTGCTGGTTTCCAGGATAAAGATTCAGTAATATTACTGATACGGCAGCCCAACATAAAAGAACACCAGGTCCTTGCGAAGAGGGCATATTATAGGCGTTTGTCACCGAGAAGTAGAGCCTAAATGAACATTAGTAAAATAGAATACGATGTAAAAGAAAGCTACAAATGACTCAGAAATAAGTGCCAGCACACAGGTAGTGCTCCATAACTGGTATCAATTGCTGCATCTTTAAAAAGATAAAACAAGAAAAGAAACATCGTGGCCGTTTTATTATATTTTTCATTGAAGAGCAGTTTCCAAGTGCTTTGAAATCTTGAACAACAAAACGAAACGGTACAGGAAAAAGAAAAAGTTTTTAAAACAAAGAAGCCTATAGCATCAAAGCCCAAACTCAGCAGTTTGTTTTGTTCGACAGAACTGAAGGTTTAATATGAAAAAACTTCACCAGCATTATAATTTTGTCTGCATTGCGGAGCAAATTTTGATTGTTCTAATTGTACAAACATTCTCTTGAAAGTTCTGTTACTGTAAGTAAGGGCTTTGATACTAGAGAAAAAGGTTTGAAAATATTCAACATATCCCTTCGAAATGGAAGTTTGTCAGTAACACTCCAAGCTGAACTAAAATGACCATTCTTGAAGAAACTGCCAAGGGTTGCACCTAAATAACGTCATCATATTTTATATCTTGGAAATTAGGTTTTTGACTTGGGCAGTTTAATCAGGCGAAACTGGTCACTATCTATTTAAGGGAGAAAGCCGGGAAAATAAATAAAAACAGAACCAAATTGAATAGTTGTAAAACTGTTCTTTTCAAAGACATAAATGTAGAATTAAAAATTCTGGAAATTTGACGAAGGGGGGAGAAATGCTAAAACGGAGATACCATCTCATAAATTATTTAACAACATTTGGCAAGGTGAAATATAATATATAATGATAAACTGGTACTACAGTGAAAAGTGTGACAAAATAAAGTTATCTAACCTTGAACATAAGTATATCAAGGATTATTTTTCTTGTTTCTAGTTTCATAGTTTCAGATGAAAATAACCAACTTGGACAAGTCCTTGTTTTCAGAAACACAAGAAAATCCTTATTCACAAATTGGGTCTGAAGGTAGGAGCTGGCACATTTCTTCAAAGGCTTTCATTTCTGAGAAAGTCAATAAACACCAGTTTTTTAACGAACAATTTCAATTTGTCACCCGAAGTTCACTTAGTCCCAGTTAAATCTATCTGATAGCGATAAAAGCTTAACTATTAATAATATACTTCCCACAACTACTTAACCTCATAACAATTAGAATATTATATACAACAGGCTTTTCTCTCAAACGAAAAAAAAGAACAAAGTGCACCAAGCCTATTACCTCACTGCAATCCTGTTGCTTTGTTTGGTGCGCAAACTTTTTGTGCAATAATATTATACTCTTTTTAATAAAGTCCTTGCACCTTCACATCAATCATCAAATTTTGCTGTGCTCATTGAAGACCTTCGGAACTCCGTCGTCTTCCTACAAGCAAAATTAAGATATTTTAGCCACCTTTTATATTTTTTCCTTTTTATATACAGTCATCATTTCTTGTATTTATGTGACGTCAATGACTGCACACACATTAAATAACATATTTCGCATACTAGAATATCTACATATGATACTGGCTAGAAATTTTGAGACAAACGCCAAAACACGTGTCGAATAGCATGCATGAAAAGAACATTTACCCCTTCCCAACCCCACTGAAAGACGAGGTCTATGAATTCTATCATTAGGGACATCAAAATGGAGCTGGGGGGGGGGGGCATTTTTCATGGTCTTGATTTTCATAAAAGGGCTTGATTCTGATACCGAAAACCTCTTAGCTGTACGTAGATGACTCCATACCAGAATGTAAGGTGTTAGAACGACCAGGTGAAAACATATTTGATCGACTATAACGACACTCGGGTCGCAGCAGCTGCAATTAAAATACACCAATCGGTGAATTCAAACATTCTCATTGATGAATTCCTTTCACAGTTTCAATTACTTCCAAAACTTAACGCAATAGATCTGCTCAAGGGATGCTATTTGAGGTTCATTAATCTCACCAAATAAAATAGATATCAAACAAAAACTGAAAACACACTTGTTTATTTAGTATTTTAAAGTTGAAATATTGAATATGACTGACCGTGTTAATTCTCACTGATGTTTCACTGCCTCGGGGGCTTATTCTACTGCCAGGAGACTTTGGAGGTCTTTTTTTAGCAGATGCAACTGAGCCACGGGAGGAGGCACTTGTTGGACGAGCACCCCCGTCCCTCAATGATGCATCACTATCCCAACGTTCAAGTTCTTCACGTACAAGTTTTTCCATATGTTCCCGGCGAGAGTCATCATCGCGTCTGTCATCCTGGAATTAAACACAAAATTTATAATTGAGCTGTGAACAAAAATTTTGTATTTTTTCTCTTCAATGATGAAGATGGGGGGAGGGGGGGGGGCGGAGGTAACATGAAGATGAACACTAGGCAGTTTTTTCAATGCTACAAACTACGCTATGTGTTCAGAAAGAATTGAAGTTAAGTTTTCAAGGACCTTAAACATTCAATCCCTCCCTTTTAACAATAAACAAAAGATATCGGTGAAAGGTCATCTCTACAGAAGAATCGATATGTGATACCTCTGCAATGCTATCAAGTAATTTTGCCATGGTCTCGCGTCTTTTGAGTTTTGCCTTTTCCATTGCTTCAAGTTTTACCAGAACGGCATCAATCTTTGATACAATACTCCCGATACTGTGCTCCATTCGATCAACTCGGCGACTCAGGCTGTGAACAGATCATAACCCAAGATTAAAAAAAATTCCCGTTAAAACTACAAAGAAAGCCTATCAAAAAAACACAATGTGAAAATTTAATGATTAACATCGAAGGATCTACATTGGCCCCAGTATAAGAAAACAAGTCATTAGAAAGCAAATGCACGCTTGCAGCAATAAGAAAATAGATTAAAAATAATTATGATAGTATCATGCAAGCCCATACTATCAAAAAATAGCAGTACTCTCTAAACTTGGCGAAAAATAAGTATGTGATGTGGAGAGAGTCAAACTTGAATTGTGCTTACACTGTGAATTCTTCGAAGGAGACTCCTCCGCCGCCAGTATGTCCTCCTCTTCGACCCTCCATGTCAATGTCATCATCTTCGTCGTCATCACTGTCCCTCATGCTGACGCGACTTCGTGTGGCTCGCAGTGGCATATCAGCATCCTTAGCACGCTCAACCTCTTCCATTTCTTCGTTCAGCTCGGCCTGGCGTTGAAAACATGTGTCAATTAATCACCTTTCAACTAATTACTCGTGTCATTAGATACTCGATTGATTAATTAATTAAATATTTCAACTAACACTAATTAATGTTGATAAACCAGATAAACAGAGAAACGAAGTTTAATATAATAAAACATAAGAGAACAATCTCAACATGATATAACATAACTTTTGAAACATGTTTTCTACAGAAAAACTCAACGCAAAAGGTTTGTATGAAGAATACATTTTGGCTACCTTTTGGCCTTCAAGATCTTCGTGCATTTTCCTTTGCTCTTCCTCGTTGAGAACACGATCGCCATCCAAATCATATTTTGCAAAGACTGCCTCAATTTCTGCATCAGCATGACCACGCCTAGAAAATAACATCTTCGTAAGAAAAGCAAAGAAGTATTTAATCAGACCCGTAGCATATTCACGGACAGCATTAGAATGAAAAACCAATAATATATTCTGTGATAGGACCTTAGAGAAGCACGAAACTCTTTACAAAAGTTTCAGCTTTGGAAAATTCTTTATCTGATAATCTCTGCTGAATAAATAAACTGTAGCTTTAAGGTCATTGCAACAAAAATTATTTTCCTGCAAATCCCCGAATTTCATTTTCAATTAACGAATCTGTCAAGCATTTAGGATCCTTACATTTTGAGTTCTTGTCTCCATTCCTCGAAGTCAAGTTTGTTGTCTCGGTTTGTGTCAGCTGTTTGAATTGCCTTTTGAATGTCAACAATCTTTTCCCGTTTGAAGGAGATTTTGTTCATCATCTTTTCATATCCCTAAAGAAAAAAATTGGTAATGTGTGTTTTAAAATCTTTATAAACAACTACACGAGAAGAAGAGTCAAAAACCACAAGTGGGATGTAAGTAGCTTTATTTAACTCAAGATATGTGCCTTCAGCCGATGTCTTCAGCTTATGAAAATCATCCAGCACATTTGAAAATCATACATCTTAATCTTTAGTGTTGACTTTGATAGCACTACAAACAACATGTAAAATTTCACTCACTCTCTTGAAGTAATCGGTGATTTCGAATTCACTCTTCTGTTGAGCCAGATCGGATTTGACTTCAGCGTAAGTGTCATTAATAATGGCCAAGAACATGTTGATGAGGACGAAGAACACAAAGAAGACGTATGTGATGAAGAAGATTGGACCCAAAATTCTGTTTGCATTTTCAATTTCCTTGAAGTTGAAGTCACCAAGGATAATACGGAACAGGGTGTAGCTAGAATGAAAATGAAAAAATATCAAAAATTTTGCAAGGAGCTGTCTAGCGATATCAAGCAAAGGTGTTGGTTCAATGGCAAAATTGAAGAAAATAAGAAACGCGCCAACTCAATGCATGTCATGCTTTCTTGCTTTCTAAGAAGATTGTTAAAGTTTTCGTTTAGTGGTAACCGAAGGAGAAACTACTTTGTTCAAAAACCCGCACATAGCAAAAATGTAAATTTGGCAATGTGTGCTTCAAAGATCAGATACATACATGCTGTAGTGGAATGTGCTGAAATCTTTGACTTGAGTTCCAAAGATGAGATATCCCCATTGCGCATACGCCAAAAAGATGATGAAGAACATAACTGCGAAGCCAGCAATGTCTTTAGCACACTGTGCAGAGTAAAATTATACAGATTAAGGTTTTGTCATAAATGATGTGAATCATTATCAACACAAAATGCCGATTCAACTAGAAATAAAAAATACATTGAGACTGGGTGTAAACAACCTGAAGATGAAGGACATACCTTTCCAAGAGTGGAGGAGAGTTGAGTCATGGTCTTGTTGAAGCTGATATACTTGAAAACCTGCAATGCAATACAGAATAAAAGGTTTGTAGAATTTCATAGTTCTGCGGTAATACCAAAACGGGTTATAAGAAAAACGGCATCACAATTATATGGAAGCTTGAAGTGTAAAACTTGCAATGTTAAAATTATTCTTGATAGAAGCTCGAAGGGTAAAACTTTAAAAAAATGGAAAAAGTGAAATAAAAAAGTTCTATGGGAGATTTATGCATGATCTAGCTATTTTGGTCGTCTTAAAATTTCCAGAAAGCAGACATTTCGTGTGGGTTCTAGAAAGGGACAGGAATTGGCCATTGCTCTCTTACGAGGATCAGTAGGTAGTTATACGTCACCCTTTGCTTCGACGTGCTCATGAAAAACATATAGGAAAACTTTGAGACAAAGAAACACACCTTGATCCAGCAAATGAAAACTGCAACAGCAACCAAATTGTCGTATTGATTTTGCCAGAACCCAAGCACTGCAAAGTTTGCAAATCCATCCGGATTCGTAAGCAGAGATTTGATCAGCCGGTTCACTGACAATGTCCGGTACAGGTTGAAAACGATGCAGACAACACCAAGCAAGATCACGACGACATCAAGGACGTTCCAGAAAGCCTTGAAATATGCCAGTTTGTGCTTCTTTATTTCAATGAATTCCTCGATGGAGTAATAAACAAGAAAGAGGACGAATATTGCCTCGCATGCCATGACAAAGTAGTCCATTGGAGTGACATACCGAATGAGTTTAAGGGTTCGGAACATCGGATGAGGAATACAGCCTCCGGTAGCTGGGAACTCAAGGACCAACCTTAAGAAACAAGGCGATATTGGATGACACGAAATCAGAAAAAAACGTTAAAACAATTTTAAGATTAAAAAGTATTCTGCAAAATAAATATGTATAAGTATATTTAGAGGTATCTAAAAAAAAAGTTTCAAAATGTCTAAACCTTGAACAATTATATACACTTCAAAGATACATCTTCAAGAAAGTTTTGATACAACTTCTTTTAAATGTGAATCTTAATGACATTAATGAAAACCCTGTTTCCCTGATTTAACATCAAATTCTATCCATGGAGTTGGCAGTTTGTAAGATTGCAATGCTATCAGAAAAAAACTGTTTGGCCTAATGCAAACAAATTGTAAAGCATGTGATGTAATTTGATTGCTTGAATGAAGTGGATGTGACTCTTTTTGTGTTGTTGCCAGGAAACCTGTAATTGGCCCTTGTTGTCCCATTTGTATTATACAAGTAGCATAATCTAGCAAATCTACACGAACTATTGCAAGTTATATTGCGTGTTTTTCTCTTTAAAATAGTTTTAAAAATTCATGAAAGAACTCACGTGACTACACAGAACAGATTGATGTTTGCATTGTATACTGTGAAATCGATGAAAACTGCCCTTGTTCCACGATCAGTCCATAGGTTTTTCTAAAAGTTCAATGATCAGACTCTTACAGCTGCCTAGCAAATCTTATGATTTTTTTCCAAAATATTCAGTTACACAAACAGAACATAAAGTATTTGGAAATGTATAAAGCAAAAAAACTTAAAAAGACTGGACTGGAGTTTCTACTTTACATAAAGATAAATTGCTTCACATAATTTGTGAAACTGAAATTATTTTTGGATTGCACATTCCCATTGTCAGAAAGTATCCTTTTTTTGGTATAGCTTCTAGTCCATCAAAAAGACTTTGAAGATAACATGGCACCTGATCAAAGAAACTCATGAATATGTTGTAGGCAGCAGTTGTCTCTGGTTCATCTATTTAGATTTTACTATTACTAAGGTTGCTACAAAGAAAGAAATAATGGACCCTAATATTACCTTAAGATCATCGATAAGTGCTTTAGATTCTGCTTTGGTCTTTTTCAAAAGCTGAGTAAATCCACCACCACTGTAACTTGTAAGTTGGCCCCAGGTTCCTCTTCCTTCCAGTTCCTTTTCAGATTTATAAGTCCAGCTGTGCAAAAATAAGCAGCAAAATTGGATGAAAATGTGGTCAATTACAAGAAAAATCACAAGAACTGAATCAGGAATTGTCATGAAAAGTTGAAAGGACACATAATTTCAAGAAGTGTCACAACCAAGACAAGTTTCAATAAATTTAATATGACCATTCTTAGTTTATAAGAGTTCTGAGAGCACATAGGACAACTACAGGTTTACTGAATTATCAAATAATTGAAAAATAACAGATTCTGTCAAAAAATGCATTTTACAACAAAGACATAATTATACTACTATTAGCAAGACAGTTTTGGCAAATTGCAGTACTATAGTTGACAAGACTAAGAAAAATACTTACGCTGAACCATTCATTTTTCCAAAGCTCCTTGTGTCTTCAATGTTAGTTGCATAAGGGGCATAGCATTCCTTGATTTCTTTCTTAAAGTCAGAGTGCACACTAAATAGATGAAAATCTATCAGTAAATCCTTAGTCGTTACTTTCTTCATTTCAGCAAAGAAGATTTCTAAGTAATAGGATTAGAAACCTCTTACAAACAGGCTACAATAAGAAATTAGGTTTGTAGTGTATAATAAAGAGAAAAGAGGATGTTACTATCTACAGGCAAAGCTATGGCATGGCAAAGATTTATGTGGACCCCCAACTGACTATAGGTTTTCAAATGAGTAAAAGCTCCAAGTATACATCAAGCGTATCATCCAAAATGAGTTCAGTATATCACTCGAATTGAATCTGCCCAGTGGAGTAAAAAACCATTACATGAGCAGATTAAGCATCTTTTTGCAGCTAACAAAAGATAAGAAAATGCCACATCAAGGCATATTTTTTGATTCCCCCTCTTACCTTTGCACAAATACTTTAAATGAAAATACCTTATGCTAACAGAACATGCCAGAAATAGGTATTGTTAATTAATTTTTGTTCTTATTATTTTATTTCATTTTTACTTCATTCTCAGCTTCTACAAAACATTCACCACTTTTTTGATCCTAAAACTGTGTATCTACTTGATTCACCAACATCATATTCTTTTTAAGTAAATTTTGCCCATATTTGGGGACAGTTGTAAATCCATCCACCTCAATCACATAATTACACATAAAATAATTCTACTTACACACAAGAATCATTCCTAACTCGAACTTGTCTTATTCTGGGTAGTCCAAGCACTTTGTTTTCAAAATAGATAAAACCCTGGTGGTCTTTAGATACATTTTGGCCATTGTAGTACTTTTCCCAAAACAGTCCATCGAGAAGCTTGCCTTCTGCATACTAAAAAAGGAAAATCTTGCATAAATATTTATATCAATGAAGAAAAAATTTGGTTACTGTATAAGCTCCATTAACTGGGGGGAGAGGTTATTTATTTTTCCAGTTCTAGATGGGGGGCTTAAAAGAGGGGGTTTGTTCTGTTTTTGCTTGATAGGGAGCTTAAAGTTGAATATCTGATGAAAAGCAAGAGCATGTAAAAGGACCTTTAATTAAAGTAGCTGTTCAGACCTGTCTACTCCATAAAACCTATCAGTCTCTAAGTTCAGTTCAGTTCAGTTCAGTTTTATTCTAAGAATGGCTTGCTTTCTCTCAGTTTCTTGGTCTTTAAAACTTCCTGCTTGTTTCCCCTTTTATTTTAGCAGGGGTTTTCTTTATTAAAAATGATTAAAACGATTTTCTTCTTGATAAAATACTTTGTTAGTACTTAAGGAATAAACTCATTATGAAGAAGTTTATCATGATAAGAATTTTTGTCAGTAACTGTTCGCCTAGCACAACATTTTACAGGGATGTGGCTTTATACAATTAAACAAATTCTTTTCAAGATTTTTCTAGCTTACTTTTTTGGTGATAAGCTGCTAAAGATAAAACTTTTTCCCATGTGGACAAAAACTATTACATAAACTATTATTACAACTCAAAATAGAGTCATTCCTATCTGATAGCTTGTTCTCTGGTGAAATAGCACAGCTATTTGGAAATAAGCTTTGAATTATAAATCAATTACCTGCTTAATTAAAATGATTAATTACATCAAATTAATTACTAGCAAAAAGAGTAGCTGTTTCCTACTCCCTCTGGTTATCAATCACAAGCTTAATTAGTTTTCTTGAGCATTTTAATTGCCTATTTAATAAAAATTGAAATAACTCCCTGTAAAACTAAAGATGGATTCAAGAGTTAGATAATACTTACACTCCAGAAATCACTCATCTTTTTAAAGTCATTAAAACCAGGCTCACTGACAAACAAGTCTAGAATAAAAGGGTTATGTCAAAATAATAAATCAGTGTTTTAACATTTCCAGCATTATAAAAATATTAAAAAATATAAGGAAGGTAAAATAAAGCACTGTAAAAAACAATCCAAAAAAGTAATTAAAGCTAATTAAAATAATTAGGTTAGAGTTTGAAATATACAAACCTTGCATGACTTTTGTGAAATAATACATGGTTGAGCTAGTCATACCAAATGTCACTAAAAATAAATAAAAATCAGAATCAATAACAAGATGATAAAAGATGTAAAACAAATGATGCCATCTGGGGATCACTTTAATGAACTGATCTTCAGTTACTCATATAATATGGCTATTTCCATTATTTTCAGCTAGACTTCTAAGAAAATCACATTTAACACTATGAGTGAGTATAAAAAGTTTGGCAAGATAATCTTTTGAAATCTTCATAGATGGCATTGTGAATGACTTTAATTCTTACATTGGTTTTATACATAATTACATTTAAATATAAATTGACGGAAAATGTCAGGAAATAAGAAAAGAACTTACAAATGCAGAGGACACACATGAAGACAAGGTAGATCCCAAGCTCCCTCAGAGTGGTCTTCACATACATCTCCTTATCTGTGTCTGTGTCCTCAGTGTGGCGTGTTCTCCATAGCCCTTTACATAGAATTTTTTAAATAATTTAGTCTACGAAGGGTACAGCATAATGTAGAACAGTAAATATTAGTGTCTTGGTATGAAATTCTTAATTGTTTGCCTGTTTTGCTGGTAAATAACTGACTGCATTTTTTATTGCTCCCTATTCAGTACACTGTTCTGAAGGAAATATAGCACATTTTGATAGTCAATGGGGCCTCCAGACCCCCCCCCCTGCCACTGCTTCTAACAGCCTTGAATACGATTTAAATCACAATAAAGTAAAATTCATTACATTTTTCATCACAATAGTAGATTAATTAGCTAAAACTCTCAACACCTTATCAGTAGTAGATTATTAATTGCTTGCATTCAAATTCACAATGCAAAACACTTCATGTCCTGCTATTTACACCAGTAAAAAATTATCTTGACAAATAGCTCTTTCTTCACAATTTCCACTTACACAGCTGTCCTAAGATGAAATTATAACATGCAAAGAATCATGGAACCTGCACCATGTGTATTCAGGAATTTACTGTTTCCTTACTCTTTAAGTAAGGTATTAAGAAAGCAAATGTTTTTTAGAACTGGGCTTAATTTTGTTAGCAATTCAATAAAAGACCTTAGCTCAACAGTGGTGATTTCTTTTAATTTTGTTTTGGGAAGAATGCTTTGAAATTGACTTGTAATATTTGAAAGTTTTGAAATATTTGGTCAAACTCTATCAATTATTAAAATGTTTTATCCATGACTTTTTGATAAGATCTGATTCAAACCAGCTCATGACTGGAATAAAATCTAGCTACTGGAGAAGAATAGAACAGCCAGGACATCCAGCAGTATGCAGGCTGCAGAAGCTTGTGTCAGCTTATATCACCTGCTTAAACATGATGCTTATTATACATGCCAGCTTTGATTTCTCAAGAATGGCTCAAGATTATAAATGAAAAATATTGTTACACAAAGGGGTCTGTATCAAAATATAATGATGCAGTTGGAACCCACAAAGTAAATATATGTAAAGAAAACAGCAATGTTGATTTGTGATCTATCAAATGTGTTTTGTTGTAACCCTAAAAATACTATCTGCATAAAAAACTTTTCAGGGTGCCTGAAACTAGAAACTAGAAACTTCCAAGTCCCTCAAGTAACTTCCAGCTAAAACCATCATGTCCTAAAGCAACATATTTTGTGCTTATGGTGCCAACCAACATAAGCACTTGGGTTTTTCCAATCCAGTACTGATCCTGTTTAAAAATTTTGTTTAAATTTCATTCTCCAAGATATTTGTTAAGCTTTTATTGAAGTCCTATTTAGTCAATCATTCAAAAATTTAAACTAGCTTTGATTTTCTATTTTAACCAAGTTAGTTATTCTTGCTCTTGGTGGTTAATTGTGTATCAGTTTTAAACAACAAGTTTTAAACATTTTAATTTATGGGTTTCCTTACAAGTTTACAAGGGTTTACCCACAAATATTATATTGCCTCTTCTAATCAAAGTAAACTAAACTTCAATACTTCAATTAGATTGGAAATTATCATAACTCTTAAAGAACAGTTGATCAACAATTTTATAGCTAACAGGACAACTTGGTAAACTTCACATAGCAAAATGCTTATGTTCTAATAGAAATTAATGGTAACCAAGCTCAAAACAAATACCCAGCATTTATCAAGCCTAATGATATATCTTATCATAAATATTTTACCAGATGCAAAACAAAAAAGAAGTAAAATATGACAAGTTATTCTAAAAGGTCACCTCGGATTACTCGTTTAAATCTTGTAAAGCAGTCAACAGGTTGATTGTTGGGGGCATCAGCTCGCACATCACGAGTCACATTGGCCTGCATGCTGTAAGGCTCTGCCTCCATAGCAGAGGGCATGTCTACAGCAGCAGGGGCTCTGGGATTGAAATCAACATCATCTTGTCCTGGGCCATCATCTGACCAGGCAGCACCTTCCAAACAAAATACAAGGAGTTATCCAATGGGAAATTATAATTTATTATTGAAAGAAAAGAAAGTTACTGAAAATTAGGGAAGCATTCCAAGAACTACCAGAAAGAAGACTAAAATAGAAAATAATTCTCTTCACAACAAAGGCTCAACTTTTGGGCCTAAAACATTGGATGGAATCTAACTTTGAATAACAACCCTAGGGGTTTCAATTCGAATTTAACAGCACGTCAGTTTTCTTGGGACTTTTGAAAGCTTGTAGTTTAGCTTTTAAATAATTACCTGATGATGGTCTTGAGCGGCTGTGCATCTCCATTTCGTCTCTCAAGGACCTGCCACCAAGACTGGCATGAGAACCGGATGGGTTCTTTCTACGCTTTGTTTCACTCATTTGCCTCAATACGACTGAACCTCTTTAAATTCAGAAGCTTGTTTGGTCTTTTTCTTAATTCTTCGGTGTTTTTTCAACTGAAATAGGAGTAGATGTGTGTTAAAAGTGCATTATGTCCATCGCCATTAAAATTTTACTTTCTTCTCATATTAGGCAGTGATACTTGCAGGTGACCATCTTTATTTTGCACCGGTTTTAGCCAATCACAGCCCGTCATTTGCCGATGTCGTACTTCAATAAGTTTTGATAATTTAAATGTGTATGCCGAAATATTACAGCCACCCGTCGTGCCTTTAAAAATTAATTTCTTTTGAAAAAAGCTTTAATTATGCTTATTTTCTTGCGAAAACTTTGAAGCTGAAAGTTCTTAAGCTGCATTTTGATTTCTCCCTGCCCACCTAGAACTAAGTTCATTGGTTTCAGATTGATAAGGATGAAGTGAAATAGACCTTCGCTGCTCGAAATTTGATATTATCAGCATAAATTTACTTTAGTGCTTGATAACAAATAAATTTTTCTGGCAAAATTGATCGCTTAACAATAGTATGCCATTCTTTCTCCCCTTAAAGTCGACGACACTCTCGAGCATAATTGCAAGCGATGCTGCGAATCACACTACAGTTGCTGCATCAAACAATCACGTGTTCTGCTTATGTTCTATAATTTTGTTATAGATAGATAATGGTTGCATAGAAATTCAAGTAGCTCATTTATAAATTCTTACCAGTACCCCTTTTCTGTTTACTGTAACAATGAATTGCATTATTGCATAAGTTATCGTTTTACAGTGCTTAATTGTAAAAACTACTTAAAGCTAATATTAACTACTTAAAATCATGTCGTCCAACTTTCGCTCAGGCCGTATAGTTATATTCTTCAATTGCCAATGAAGAAATTCCCTTAAAGTTTTGCCTCATATTGGTACGCATGTCAAATCGTGCTTTATTGCGTGAAAATCTAAAATACTTTCCGTAAGCGCTAAAATTCTTTGCTATGTCGAATTCAAACATTTATCTATTTGTTCCTTTTTAATTTGTACTTACATACAGCAAGGTTGTTGCTTTTGTCGTTGTATTTTTCTTTCAATACAAGAAGTCTGATTTGCGCATCGTTCCTTTCAACTGGCGCCTAATGAAGACATATATTCGACCCAATATCCAATTTTTCGTCATCTTAATTATTAATGATTTTAAAACTTTGAGGTCTACTGATTCTTTAAAATCGTTAAAGGTGGGCAGTTGGCCATGGCAACTGAAATGCATTCCATCTTGCCATGGACACTCGTTATGAGAAGAATTTATATTCATGGTGCTTGCTATTAGATTATCAGAATTTTGCAGGTTGCTAAAACCAACTTGGCCAAGTGGTAAAGAATAACGAACGTTGATGGCTTTCTCTGACCCAGGCGGCTTTCTCTTTCGCGCATGACTTTTGAAACTCTGTGAAGAAGTTATGCAAGTCAAGCGATGTATGTATCGACATGCAAGGACACCTATTAGAGATATCAGAGAGAACTTGCTATGTCATCGGTAAACCAATGGGGTTATTCAAGGCTCTAGAATCTAGGAATTTCAAAGTGCAATTTTGTTGCATGTCTGCACACCCTTGCTGTTATTCTAGAAAATAGGCTATTGTCCTCCTCTTTGCATAAAAAAGGCCCCACAGCTTATCTCCCTTCGAATAGGCTATGCAGGAGTCCATGTCTTGCAAATGTAGCTATGAGGCATCAAGATATGATTGATGATCGAAATTCAAATCAGCTTTTGTCTAATTCAAGTTAAGTTAATTGTCCCAAGCTATGGTTGCCTAATACAGAGGCTTTAAATCGGTGAAGGAGACGCAAAGCTCGCAGACATTCTACTGTGTAGGTTGATGACTTTACAAACGCAATACCGATTCAAAAGTTCATTGAAGAATGCTTAAAACGATCTTCAAACTTAAGTTTTATCTCAGATAGTGAGGCCTAAACAAAATCTCTTCCTTTGTATAGACTGCCTACATCTTGTACCAGATTTATTCCACTTCTTCAAACAATACAAAAAGACTATGTAAGGAACAGAAATCTGCAACTTGTTTCCAGACTCCAACGCTGCCGTTATATCATGACTCATTGATGGAAAAACTGTTTTTCACTCTGCAAAGTCGCATAAGAAAAAGAAATGTGAATTTACCAAATGTGACTGTTTCCCTTCACCTGTTTGCTGAAAGCAAGGGAAAACCTTGTGTGTACTGACTTTTGGGAAGTAACTAGGCTATCTTTTTAATTAACTACAATTGCAATTGTTTATCTACAGATGAGAAAACAAGTCTCATTCAACAGCACTTCCTTTATGGAGGATAACTTTCCTTTATAAACCCTCCATATTTTTAAAGATAGGACTTTGCATGATGACGTCAAAATATCAAATGAATTCTTGCTTATCGATTCCACTGCTCACCGCTGTCAAAGAGCTTTAATTCAAGAATTTGGCGATTCAAGATTTTGAAGACATGGAGAATTTGTGACTTTGCTTCTACCAGTATTTCAAAGAATTTGGAGCTTTAAGTAACTATATTTTGAGAAAAGAGACTAATGCTTTAAACTGTGCCAAAAATCAGTTTAAATCAGTTTTAAAATTGTGACGCGGAAAATCAGTTTTAAAATTGTCTATGAGGATGTGAGTAATGAGGGACTGGGGCGAGAATTATTGTTGTTAAAACATAGAGATAGGATCTCTATGTGTTAAAATTAGTGAGCGAGAAAGAAGATAGAGAGTTGAAGCGGAGATATAGGCTGGGTAGGTAGCAGAAGAGGTTTTAAAAGTAAGTAGGGGGATATCAAAGAAGAAAAGAAACTGAATTATCATTTTTATTTGCTTTCATTCTTGCATGCTTTGTAGCAGTCTTGTTCTGAATGAGATTTGCAGCTTTCTAGCTAGGGTACCCAGCATAGCGAGTATTCCGATTGGTCATCTAATTCTCAGACCCTCAAGCGCTTTGTAATTATCCATGCAGTAAACTGACCTATATTTTTGTACCACGTGGTGTAAACAATGTTGGATGCTTCATGACCTATTAAAAATGTCGTTGACTTGGTCAATTTTTGAGTGGATAGAAACCTATATTATTTTTCCCCGTGCATTTCGATGGCTCTTTCTTCAAAGACCCTGCTTTTCGTAGGCGTTTCATTGTAACAGAAATTCAGACATCGAAAATTTTCTTGCTCCTAATACAAAGCTTTTTTCTGACAAATTATTTTCACAGCTTCTAATGAATAATTATTTTCACAGCTTCAAATTATTTGCTAGTCATATCTGAAGGTCTTGTGCTAGAAGAACAGATGACGGGTTTGACATTTTGATATGCCATGAAACCATTCTTAAAGCCATAGTCGCAATGCAAAGCACTTTTGTTTATTCTCTTAAAAAACACCCAAAATAATTTTACGATTACGATAAATCCCAGTGTTCTACGATTAGACAGCAAAAGTGTGTACCACTAAGGCATGCAAAAGTCTGGTTGTCGTACCTTACTCTAATGGCCAGCCATTTTGCAACACTTTAATTTTAAAATGGCTTTGAAAAAAGCAACATTTTACAACATATTGGCTAATCGCCAAAAAACTGTTCGCCTTAAAATTTAAACGTGAATAAATTTATGCCTTATCATTAAGAAAAAACAATTTTTTAGGAAGATAATTTTACATAGCAGAAATGGAGGTAAATTTACCTATTTATAAGCAAGTAAATATTTACAAGCAAAATTATTGGCACCCAACATGTTTTCTGCAAAACACAGACAATCGATGGCAAATGTGGTACCACTCTATATGAAAGTTAGCTCGTTTAGATCCCAGCCCCTTTACCTAAACTGTGCTCCGGCGTCCCTGTAAAGCAAAGATTCTGAAGCAAAAAGTGGGATTGATTTTAGGTCCCTTCCAGCAGGGCTTCTAAGTCTTCAGAACAGGGGCTATTAGCTTCTTGTAAGCCAGGGACGTCAAAACACAAACTAAAGTTGGAAACTAGGGCTTAAGCCTACCATAATTTTTGCCTCCAGCCGTTCTTCCTAGGTACCTGAATGGATGATGGTCGGTCTTCAATTGTTGTTTTTAACAATTGCATTGTGGCTAAATAAATCATTGTTTCATGCTTGCAAACAGAATTCCATCACCAAGATACGATTTAAGTTACTTGGCTACCAGGTGAGACCACATCAATCTACGGACCTGCCTCTAATCAAACTTTTAACCAAAGCAAGCGTTCATTGGTTGACTTGCAAAATGAATGATGTCATAGAGTTATTTTTCTAATAATTCCATACTTGTGTGATCATGATGAACGCTAAGTTTTGGAATTCTAACCAGTTCAGCTGACAGCTTTCGTGAAGCTCCTTTTCCAGATCATATTATTAGTACCAAGAAAAAAATGTCTGTGATAACAAAGTTCTTTATTCTGCGCATTCGAACGATTCTTATTTATCAAAATTTTACGTGCCTTTTTACTAAAAATCACTGGCAGTTTTTAAATAACATATCTACTGTTGGTTGGGTAATGTGGTATCTTTAACCGTGGTTCGGGTATTCCAGTTTAGTGAGTGAGCTACACTTTTAGGATTGTGAATGAAGTGCAAGAGCCAAATACCTGAAACATTGGTATGCAGAAACTGAAGAATATGGAAATAAGGAAACTTTGAACAAAGTAAACCTGCATTGAACTTTAAAATGCCGTACCAAAAAGATAGGTGTATCAGAAACTCTAGATAAGGCCATGTCGTAAGCAGAGAGGTACTCTAAATGAAAGAACATAAAAGTATTTCAGATTGAGCCACATTTCATTACAAGCTTGATCAGAAAAAGCCCTCTGCCTCCATGCATGGTTGAAATTTTTAACCACCAGGATCGCAAGGCATCATGGGTCCTTGGGGCTTCTTAACAGTGACAGATGAATTTCCCAGGCCGCAAAATTTCGCAATGCAAAGCATCATGGTTACGACCTGAAAGTTGCTTAACTCCCAATCATGCCACTAAGCTTTTTACTCTCTGGTTGGCTCTGTTTTGTTTTCGCCTTAATTAAGCACCAGAATGTTGTTATCTCTTGCACTTTTCCACCGTTATTCTACCTTTGTTACTTGAATTACTTACGCCCCTCGATTCTTTTAAAAATAAATGATTGTATCTTACCAACAATAAATATCTTAATCGGCTTGACATAATATGTGAGCCTGACTTACATATTTCTTTTTTTGAATTTTGCTTGTTACCAAATAATAACACTACGGTCTAGAGAGGTTTTCAGAATCCCAACTTTAAAATACTTCGAAATTTGCTTTCAAAGGACTGTTTCAAACCAGCAGATACTTTTCTTTTAAGATGTCCAACTAAAAGACTGCGGAATAAATGATGACGTTTCCGTCGGATTCAGGCGTTCCAGAATGCATTGCGCTCCATGAAAAGTTACGCAGCTCTTAAGGAAATTGATAAATTTTATTCTTTGGACTTAGACTGTTTTGACATCTATTGCAAGTACAAATTGATTAGGGAAATTTTATTTGACTGCATAGCAGGTTTTTATTTGATTAAGAAAAGTGTGTTTGCTTGATTCCCTGCAAGACAGCCTCTTCTGGTTCTTGTCAAAGGTTCTACATTAATCAATACGAAAACTTGGACATTCAGGGTAGAAAGAAACAAAATTCGTACGACGCAACGATTAAAAGCAGTTGCATTCCGCAACATTGCAACGCAGCGCTTTGCGTAATCTAGTGCATGGCAAGCTTCTTTGGTTTCCCCCATAACTCGAATTCCCATCTCCGATTATATTGTTGTTGACAAACTCGATACATTACTATGCTAACTTCTGCTAATTACCAATTTGCAGATATACATATCCTCTTTCTTACAGTCAGTGAAAATGCTATACCATTTAAAATATCGTCGTGTAAAAATGAAAGTCTTGAGGTGAATAATGCGTTGATGAATCTGTTAAGCAAATTTACTCTAAGACCTGAGATTTTCGTCCACTTTATCTGGAAATATGATTGCTTGCTTCTTCAAAGTTACGTAGATAATTCTAAGAAAACCTTCTGTAAAATAATGGAAAGATACTCACCTTATTGTCAGTTATAACTTAACACCCAAGACCGTTTTGTTTTTCTTACATGTTTCGAGCAAGGTGAATACTCGGAAAACTATGTCGACGATTTGTTCGATATC